AGGCGTTTTGTCCTCCAATTTTACAGATATCCTAACGAATGATTTGATTTTGGGTTTTAAATCAAGTCGCTTATAATATTAAGCTCATTTGTATGTTAATGACGTGTTTCTGACTTTTCGGAAGAATAATTTAGACAACTTCCTTAACCTTTGTAATAGTTATCATGAGAACATACAATTCACATATGAATTTGAAATTTTAGTCGTGAAGTGATCCGAAGTCCCGCGGGGACAATGATGCATAGGTGGTATACACAAGAAATCAGCTCTGACAGATATTTCAATTATTTATTTTCTCACTTTTTTGGACAAAAACTGCGTTGTGCCAATAATTGATAGAGTTTTGGCACTAAGCAGCACATGCTTCTGGAGTGAAGTTAAAGAGCGAGCTTTCCGAATTTTAAGAAATAACAAGTACCCAAAGACATTGGTTAATGTATAGTACAGATATTTACTGATGATAGATTGTTAGATATTAATTCAATAAAGTAAACAAACGGTGAAAAAACAGATAGAAGTATTTTTCATTTTCACCTTCAAGAGTATAACGTGCGTCCCAGTGATTTCGCTCAGGTTAAAATATTAATATATTAAATATAATATATATTAAAAATTCATAACACCTGTGGATTTGATGCACATTGAACGTTAGTCCAATCAAAAAGTTAGTGTCACGAGCGGGATTCGAACCCACGACCTTCGGCTAAATCGCTACCAATTGAGCTACAATATCTTCATTTCAACCAATACCTTACATAAAGATTAATTAAATGAAAGATGTTATTTGGTCAATCGGACCACGGGTTAGTACATGTTGCAAATTTTTTGATAGTTTCCATCATGATTTTGAGGAACTCCATAATAAAATGATGGGTAGGAAGAAAATTGTCTTTTCAACAATAGGACTGTAGGTGAGAAGAGTGCGACTGAAATCAATAAAAACCTGAAACGCTTTATTTTTATCTTCTTTTTCGAAAAATATCTGAGGCATTAGGATAGCAAAAAATTTGGAAAAAAATGTCTTAACCTACTTTGCTGAGTCGTTCGGTCACAAATTTTGTGTATCACCATCTACGATACCCATAATAATTATTATGTGACCGAATGACGTAGCAAAAGTAGGTTAAAAAATAGCAAGAAACAATTTGAATTTTTTTTCACCCTATAAACCCAGCAGACGAATTTGTGAGAAATAAAAAATAATTTTCTCACAAATTTACCTAACTACCTAACTATACCCATAATAATTATTTTGTTACCGAGCGATTTACCAAGCTTTTAAAAAATTTAAGTTAGAAACGATGTTGATATTGGTTGTTTTTTTTCACTCCAAAAACCCAGAAGACAAATTTGTGAAAAAAACAAAAAATAATTTTCTCACATTTTTACCTAATACACTACTTAAGTATACAAATTTTTAAAAAAAATCATTTTTTCACCAATGTAGCAAAAGTAGGTTAAAATATTTTTTAAGCAAGAAACAGTAGATATTCTTATTTTTCACCCCAAAAAAAAAAAAAAAAATTTTTTTTTTTTGCAAAAGTAGGTTAAAATATTTTTTAAGCAAGAAACAGTAGATATTCTTATTTTTCACCCCAAAAAACCTTGAATACAGATTTTGAAAAAATAAAAAAAATCTTTTTTTCATAAATGTACCTAATATACTTGCAAGTTGCAATAATTATTTTTTGACTGAAAGACGAAGCAAATATAGGTGAAAATATTTTTTAACAAGAAACAAGTTGATATTCGTTTGTTTTTATGTTTTCACCCCCAAAAAAACCCTTAATACAAATTTATTAGAAATATAAAAAATCGTTTCTTCACAACTGTACTTAATGTACTATCTAAGTATACCCATAATAATTATTTGTGACCGAGAGACGTATCAAAAGTAGATTTTTTTTTTTAAGCAAGAAACAAAGTTGACATTATTTTGTTTTACCCCAAAAAACCCTTTAATACGAATTTTTGAAAAAACCAAAAAATTATTTTTTCACATATGTACCTAACAACTTACCATGGATACCCATAATAATTATTCTGTGACCGAGTGACGGAGCAAAAGTAGGTTAAAATATTTTGTAAGAAAGAAACGAAGTTTATATTCTTTTTTTTACCCCATAAAAACCTTGAACACAAATTTGAAAAAAAAAAATAATTTATTTCTCAAATGTATCTAATGTACTTGCAAGTATACGCACAATATTCTTTTTTGACCGAGTGACGAAGCAAAAGTAGGTTAAAAAAAATTTTCCATGAAACAAGTTGATATTCGTTTGTTTTTGTGTTTTCACCCCAAAAAAAAACCTTTAATACAAATTTATGAGAAAATATAAAAAATCATTTTTTCACAGCTGTACTTAATACAACATATAAAAAATCTAATGAAATATCACATCATCAACGCACTATCAGCTTATTTCCATTTGTCTTCAGTGATGTAGAAAAATTTTACAGAAAAACAGATGTTGATTGCAGATGCAATCCATTGATGGGTATTTATTTTTGTGGAGTCATACAATATATATAAAAAATCTAATGAAATATCACATCCTCGATGCACTATGACCATAATTTTAACCGAAAAATGCGTGCGTGTGGGTGGAGAGAAGGGGAGAGAAATGTGAAATTCGGTAAAAAAAAATAAAGTGATAGTGCGTCGAAGATGTGATATTTCATCAGATTTTTTTAATATGTTGTATGACTCTCTAGCAGCATATTTTTGCCGAATTCTCATTTGTCTCTTACATTGATGAAAAAAAGACATGGAACTTTGGTCACACATGCGGCAAGAGTACGTCCTTTATGGTTATTTCATTATATACGTACATTTTGTATGACTTAAATTAAGTTGTTTTCAATGAACCGGATTTCTAGCATTGAAACTCATCATCAAGTTGAAAGAATTACAAACACGACTCGACATGAATTGTAAAGTGGACCCCGCCGAACCGACGTGCCAATGGGAAGCTAGTTTTTGATGCCGCTCAATTTTGAAGGATTCTTCCAATTAATTTATTCTTTAGACCCTAGTATAAATTTTACATTGAAAATAATTAAAGATGGTTGTTGAATTTTGAACATGCGAAAAACGTGAATTATAACGCAACTAAATATTATCCTAATACATACTGTAAGCAAAATAATTTTAAATTAGTAATTAATTTGTATTTCCAATATTATTTAGTTGCATGTTTAAAATAGGTGATAAATTAAAATCTATCATATTATTTATGCATACATAAGAGTCATACAACATATAAAAAAATCTAATGAAATATCACATCCTCGATGCATATTACCTTAATTTTAACAGAAAAAGTATGTGTGCGTGCGTGCACGCGCTTGTGGTGGGGTGTGTGTGTGTGTGTGGGTGTGGGTGTGTGTGGGTGTAGTGTATGAAGGAAAGAGAAATGCGAAATTCGGTTTATAAAATCAGCTGTGCGTCGAGGATGTGATATTTCATTAGATATTTTTTATGTTGTCTGACTCGTATGTATGCATAAATAATATGATAAGATTTTGATTGATTTTCATCAACGGAAGAGACAAATGAAAATTCCGGCTAAAAATGAGCTGGTAGAGAGTCAAACAATGTATAAAAAATTTAATGAAATATCCCATCTTCGACATTCCATTTTTTTTTGTCTCTCTCTCACACTCTCACTCTCATACACACACTCTTTTTTTGTGCATAGATGAAGGCAAATGGAAATTGAGGTAGTCGAGGATGTAATATTTCAAATATTTCATTAGATTTTTTTTATATGTTATATGACTCGACAAAAATAAATACCCATCTTTGGATTAATACCTGTAATCAACATCTGTGCTTTTGTAACAGTTTTATGTAATTAATTACAATTACAATAAATTAATTGGAGTCATCTTTCAAAATTGAGCGGCATCAAAAACCAGCTTCTCATTGGCACTTCGGGTCGGCGGTGGATCGGCGGGGTCCACTATTACAATTCATGTCGAGAGAGTCGTGTTTGTAATTCTTTCAAATTGATGATGAGTTTCAATGCTAAAAATCCGGATCATTGAAAACAACGTACTTTAAGAACTATTATTTGGGAAAATTCATATCCATACACACCCCACCAAACCTCATTTCTATAGGTTATTTCATTCCATTTTTTTTTTTTTTTTTAATTAGGTATGTTGTGCACCAGATCCTATTTCAATTGGTTCGGACCAATTTGTAAAAATGGTAATTAATGTAGGAATTTGGCGTCCTGAAAGCGTGGTCGGGCTGTGAGGAAAATATCACGAAAAGACACGGACAGCTGTGAAAGTTGTCGCTTGTTAAAAATACATGCTACCAGCTGTAAGTAGCGCCAATCGACAATTGACTGCTGCACAGCGAAGTCGGAAACGATTTAATTTTTGATTTTCAAATATAAATTCGAAAGCAATTTCGAATTCTAGCTGGTTTTTTATTATAATTATTATTATTATGAGGGAAATCCGCTGAAAATCGAGTTGAGAAGAGAATTAAAGATGTTAGTCTGTCTCTCTGTCTCTCTTTTTTTTTCTTTTTTGGAATGGAGAAAGTAGACAAAAAATTCATGATACGTTTCATAAATGCAGTGAACGAATGGAGTTTTTCGTTCATCGGTTAATTAAAACCGTTGCACGACTTAAGGGACAAAAAAAGGGAAAAGATTTGTATTTTGTAGGTTCGGGTTGTACACTCGACAGAGGGCCAAATCAATTTCGAAATTATCCCTAGAGAAATGAAAATCAGATTGGAAAGGAAAGGAGGAGGAAGTGAGGGCCTTTTTCACCCGTTTCGTCGGTTCAGCAGAAACTGACCTCGTCCGGAGTCCTAGGGACGTCCAGGAACTGAGGACAATTCCGACGATCGCGTAAACACAATTTAGCCTATAATGCAGTTCTGGATCTACTTACGGATAAACGTCCTTGGCCATCCTTGACGTAACTTGCCGTCGTTCCATCGTAGAAAAAGCAGAATTTCCATCAAAAAAGGATACAGTTTAATAACGTCCGTGTCCATCCTACGTTTTCCAGCGCTTGGAGAAGACATGGTCACGATGAGACGGGGCTCGTACTTTTTCCGTAAAAACACAATCGTATCGATTCCCGTCTCGCGGAACGAAACAGCTCGAAGTGTCGAACAAGGCTATCTGTCCGATCGAAAACAAACCGAAATAACAATTAAAATAAAATCGAGACTCGACAGGAGGGAAAAAGTCATTTCTACACCACTGGACACACGACTAATAATAAAGTCGGCCGAGCCCCGAGAAAATCAAAAAAACTTAACGATTCGACAACGACAGGGTTCGTCAATCCCAACTTTTCAGACGGGCCTTTTCGAATCGGAGTTGAGTACCGACGAGACGATTATCGAACCGATCAGAGCCCCGCCGTCGAGGGTGTTGAAAATTCTTGTGCAAGCTGGCTGACGAGTGTTTATTTACATGTGAAACAGTTGTCCGGACTGGAATCAGCTGAGGGATCCTCTCCCTACCAACCACGACGATCATCCCCACCAAAGCACCCAAAGCGCACCAACCACCTAAGTCCCCCACCAAAATCAACCGGCCAACCAGTTTCATTCCACTGATTGATAAGACGGACGCGGCGTTTGCCTAGGAGCCAGGAGGAAACGTCTCTATTCGACTCACTTTCAAACAATTGACTCACCTAAAATATTAATCTTTAAACGGTTTGAAAATCTGCTTCAATCTATTTTTCTAGGAGGATGCAAGTTGCTTTACGAAAGCCTTTATCCACGGTACGTATCAACAAGCTTGTATTTTTTTTCATTTACTCAGCAAGTTTGTTAAAATTCAGCAGTCTCCTCCTGAAAAAAATTGTCTTTTACGATCTGCTGAACCTTGATGAACTAATCGTCTCCTCCTTGTCATTTTCTTGCCTTGACGACTTTCCTTTAGGTGCGACATAAATTTAAGGAGGATGTCAATGTTTTATCCTTATCAGGGCGGATCAACACCAAGTCGATTGTTTATTTTGTAACGTCAAGAATTGAGTTTGCCTGATCCGACTCAATAATTTGCTGGGGCTCTTTTACAGTTTGTAATGGGAGCACTTAATATTTGCCCTTGAGCAACAATTATTATCCTCTGTACGAGAATACATGCAAATATTAGAATAGATGCAGCAAAACAAGGTGTACATTTGATTTCACTTAATTTATTTATTAATAAATAGGCAAAAAAATTGTGATATTAAACATTGACAATAATAACAATAAATATATTGCCTTACATGTATTAAAATTCATTATTGTTCGAATTCAATTGTACAACCATTATTAACAATTAAATGTAGAGGGACCAAAGGATTATTTTTATCTCTGTTTGTTGTGTTAATAAACCTTTATGACAAAACTACCAAAACCTCCATTCAATTTGATACGATTGTATAAGAATTACTGGCCGGTGTTTTCTTGCCTTGTTGACTTTCCTTTAGGTGCGACATAAATTTATGGAGGATGTAAATTGTTTATCCTTATCAGGGTGGATGGAATCAAAGTCGATTGTTCATTTTGTAACATCAAGAATTGAGTCTATCTGATCCGACACAATTGTCGACTGAGTCTCTTTTACACATTGTGATTGGGACGCTTAATATTTGCCCCCTTGATCCACAAATATTTCCATTTGTATGAGAATATCTGATAAAATTAACATAGTGCAAAACAAGATGTACTTTTGATTTCATTTCATTTACGAATTAATTTGTATAAGTCAATAGCTCATTTTATTATAATAATTACACACAAAAAAAGACAAAGAAACTTAAAAAATTGTGATGTTAAACATTGACAATAATAAAACTAACTAAAAAAACGAAGAAACATAAAAAATTGTAATAATAAGCGTTGACAGAAATGAAACAATAAAAATGTTGCCTTATATATATTAAATTCATTATTGTTTGAATTAAATTGTATGTTTTTGTCATTAAATTGTACGACCATTATTAACAATTAAATGTACAAGGACCAAAGGACTATTTTTATCTCAGTTTGTTGTGTTAATAAACCTTGATGACAAAACTACCCAAAACCTTCATTCAATTTGATGGGATTGTCTAAGAATTACTGGCGGTGTTTTCTTGCCTTGTTGACTTTCCTTTAGGTGCGACATAAATTTAAGGAGGATGTCAATGTTTTATCCTTATCAGGGCGGATCAACACCAAGTCGATTGTTTATTTTGTAACGTCAAGAATTGAGTTTGCCTGATCCGACTCAATAATTTGCTGGGGCTCTTTCACAATTTTTGATGGGGCACTTAATATTTGCCCTTGAGCAACAATTATTTTCCTCTGTACGAGAATAGATGCATCAAAACAAGATAAACCTTTGATTTCACTTAATTTATTTATTCATTTATATATAGGCAATATCCCATTTTTTTATAATAATTATTCACAAAAAAGAGGAAGAAACTTAAAAAACTGTGATATTAAACATCGACAATAATAAAACAATTAAAATGTTGCCTTAGATATGTTAAAATTCATTAATGTTTGAATTAAATTGTATGTTTTTCTCATTGAATTGTCCAAACATGGCTAACAATTAAATGTACAAGGAGTGAAGGACTATTGTTATCTCTGTTTCTCGGTTTGTTGTGTTAATAAAGCTTGATGACAATCTACCAAATCGACCATTTGATTTGATACATCGTCTAAGGATTACTGGCCGGGATTTTCTTGCCTTGTTAACTGTCCTTTAGGTGCTACATAAATTTAGGGAGAATGTAAATTGTTTATCCTCATCATGACAGTTGGACTGTTTATTTTGTAACATACCAGGAATTGAGTTTGTTTCATCCGACACAATTTTCGACTGGGACTCTTTTATGTATTGCAATTTGGGCACTTAATATTTGCCCTCGATCCACAGTTATTTCTCTCTGTATGAGAATATCTGATAAAATGAGCATAGATAGTGCATAGATTAAAAAAAGTGTACATTTGATCCGATTTTTGCTTCACTTCACAAAAAATTATTCTAGTTTAGGAGGACTAATTTTTTCTCAGCCTGTTGGACCGAAAATATTATTGGTCAGTTAACCAAAGTTAGCAGTAAAAAAGTACTAAAATATTGTAACTGTGCATTAGCTCCAATATTGGCAGAATTGTTTAATAATCATTTGCCCTTATCACTTTTCCTAATGTTCTTAAATTCAGTGCAAAAGCCAGATGCATACAACAAACTTCAACCCTTGCTTAAAAGTTTAATAAGTCCTTCCTTTTACTTTTTCAAATTCTTTGGTTGAGACTCTTAAGAGGGGAGGCTCAACAGCTAGGTCATTTCATTCTAGCTCCCAAAACATCTAGTTTTTAATTTAATTTAATTTTTAATTTTTTTATGTGCATAACGATTACTTGGAGCTATATTTTTTACACTATGCATTAGTGATTTCTTTTTTCTTGTAGGTAGTTAACATATTAATAAAACAAGGAATAACGAAAATGGAAACAAGGCATATACAAAATCATGCCTACATTAACGGAAATTGGGTAAAATCGTTAAGTGGCAAGACATTTGATGTGTTCAATCCATCAAATGGAGAGTTGATAACAAATGTCCCGGATATGAACGTGGAAGATGTAAAGTGTGCTGTAGATGCTGCCGCAGAGTCCTTTCTCACTTGGAGTTTAACCACTGCTAAGGTTAGTGAATACTTTGAACGTTTTCCAAATTGTACTACTTTCAGGTTGTATTTATTTTTATTAGGAACGTGGTCAACTTTTAAGACAATGGTACAACATTTTAAATGAAAATTCTGAAAAACTCGCCAAACTGGTTCAACTGGAAGCTGGAAAACCCTTTTCTGAAGCTCTCGGTGAAGTGGCTTATGGAAACGCCTTTATCGATTGGTTTTCAGAAGAAGCTCGTCGTTGTTATGTATGTAGAAATCTATTGTATTTTTTTTGCATTTCACATTTTGCTTTTTTTGTTTTAGGGGGAAGTTTTATGCAGCCCCGTGAAAAACAAAGAACTTATGCACATAAAGCAACCGATTGGGGTTGCGGCATTGTTAACACCTGTATGTTTGAACTTGTAATGATTATTTTCAGTCAGTTATTTGCACACTTTATTCTACAGTGGAATTTTCCGCATGCAATGATAACAAGAAAAGCTGGAGCGGCTCTTGCTGCTGGGTGCACTTGCGTAATAAAACCGGCTGAAGATACTCCCTTGACTGCTTTAGCCCTCGCAGAATATGCTGAAAAAGCAGGTTAAAAACTATTATTTAATCAAGGTTTAGTAATTAATAATTTACTAGATACAGTGTATTCTAATTGACATTGATTTGCAAAAACCAGAATTAACATATGTTTCAATGATCAGAATCAATTAACAATTTTGTGTGGTTTCTGCGTATTTGATATGTAATTTTCTGGAGGGAATTATAGTAGTTTATGTACTTAATTTTTTATAATTACATGTTTTAATTTATGTAATGTATTTTAGGTATTCCAAAAGGTGTCATTAATGTAGTAACATGTGATCGGCCGTCTGTAGGAGCTGTTGGAAAATTTCTCTGTGAGACTCCCCTAGTATCTGTAATAACATTTACAGGTATGAACTTTTATAATATTGTCTTAATAGTTGTATTAATTTTATTTGGATTTTGGAATTCAAGGCTCAACTGTGGTTGGTAAATTATTATTCAACCAATGTGCCCCAAGTGTCAAAAGAATTTCATTGGAACTAGGCGGTAATGCTCCATTTATTGTCTTCAAAACAGCAGATGTTAGCAAAGCTGTCCTAGGTGCTGTTGCTTCAAAATTTAGAAACTGTGGGCAGGTAATCTAATTTTTCTATAGCTAATCTATAACAAGCGCATTAAGACATTAAGAAAATATAGTCATAGTAATTTTTAGAATTTGGTATAAGCCATAACAGTATAAAACCGGCATTGTTTGGTAGACACCAACAAAAACGTAACTAATCAATACAGATCAATTTAGGTGGACCCCAAAGCTGTGCAATAACATTGAATACAAACACACTAGAAATCCTCATCTTTCAAATGATAGACAGACTAAAAATATTGTGCAATATTAACCCTATACGGTGCAGAGAAAAAAGTGGTACAATAAAATTAAACTCCCTCAAACTTTTGCTCATTTAGAAAACTTCAGTACTAACGCTAAACATTCAATAATATTGCACAATTCATAATATTGTGCAATATAATTGATTATCTAGGACTCGCCCTACAGAAGGCTATTCTCGCAATACTCTAGGTTCTGGTTTTGCGTCATCTTCGATGAAAAACTTGCAGCTTTACTAGTCTGCAAGTCCTTGTAAACATAACGGGTTTGGTTGCTTTGTTCGATACTAAAATACAAAAAAAAAGTAAATGTTCCAGAGAAGACATTGAACCAAATGTAACCAAAAAGCCAAGAACGAATCTAACCAAAATTGAAATGGTTTTATCCTAGTGACAACTGCATTTAAGAGCCTACACTGACTATGAAACACACTTCCTCACTGAAGTTGACACATAACCCAAACATTTATTGGTGCAGTACAAACCACCAAGAAGTGATGGGTTCAGTAAAGTGATCAGTGTTGAACAGTTCCGAGTTCATCCACAGACTAACCAACTTGAAATATTAATAGTAAAAATCCTTGTAAATAGTGTGACACTTTTTGGAAGTGAAGAACCTAGGTTGAACTACTTACAAGGATGTTGCGATTGCAATTTTTTAAATTTTTATTTATACTTTTCAGGCATGCATCAGTGCAAATCGATTTCTTATTGAAGAAAGCGTCTTTGATCAATTTGTCAATGAATTTACGTCATATGTTAAAGAAAATATTTCTTTTGAACCCGATACACAGAAACAACAGATTGGACCATTGATAAATGATATGCAAGTTAAAAAGGTAAGTTAAATTTATATGACTTGGGTCAATGGAAGTTAATTACAGCATTCTAACTCCTCTACAAAAATTTGTTTTGTAACCTAAATTATAAATCCATTGGAAGGGAGCTCATTTGCTTTCAACTCCTTGTGTGTTAGCCTCCCGGAAAAATTAATGTTTTCAACAATTAATTACAGATAAAAAAAATTAATTAACAGGTGACTGCCATTGTGGATGATGCCATTTCAAAGGGAGCCCAGGTTAAACTTGGAGGAAAAGTGGCCAAGAACAAAGGAAAACTATATTTCGAGCCAACAGTACTCACAAATATTAAACCTGATATGGTTTGCTACAGAGAAGAAATTTTTGGTCCTGTTGCACCATGTATTAAGTAAGTACAATGATAACAATTGTCAGTTATCTATTATATATTTATTGTTATTATGTTAGTTCAATATCGTCATAAAATTTTGAAAATAAATTGTTTGAAATAGGCTATTATGATTAGTTGGTCCTTCAGATAGATTATTACATCTCAGCCAAGCTCCAACAATTTTTGACAGATCTGCTAAGACTTGTGGGGGCAAGTGTTGTTCTAGTGGAAGCAATTCCCATGTGATCAGCCAATGCCAGTCATTTTCGTCATTTACGGACATTAATTGTTCCAGTTGTGTGTGGTATTTAGTAAAATGTATACTGGTTTGGTTCAGGGGTAGAACTCATAAAAAAGCACCTCCTTACAACCCTACCAAATGAACATTACCTTGTTAAAATATAATCCAGCTTTGGAGTTGTTAATAGTGGGTTGCTGCATTTTCTCCAGGACTTTCCTCATTGAACATTATTGTAAAAATGTGTAGTATTTAGTGACTGTTAATTAATGATTATTTAGAGATTGTGAGGTCTGGTGTGATTTAGGTTCAGAAAAACATTTTCTTTATTGTACCAACGTTTCGAGCTTTATTGAGATCATCTTCAGGGCTCAAAGTGTTTGTCTTCTGTGTAATTGTGCCATTCTTGCGTGTGTCGAGAGTGCTGAAGTGTAACTTTGAGCCCTGAAGATGATCTCAATAAAGATCGAAACATTGGCACGATAAAGAAAATGTTTTTCTGAAACCTACATCACACCAGACCGCATCTCACGATTTCTAAATAAATATCGATTAACGGTCACTAATCACCACACATTGTTTAAATTACACAGATACATATAAGATATGAATATGAATTTATACAATAGTATACACAATATAGAAATTTTAGGTTTAATCAAAATATTTGTATTCACTCAAAGTGGTGTTTTCTGTATAGATGTGTCACAGTGGTGTGCCGTCTTGAGATTGTTAGTGAGATATTAATCTTTTTTGGTATATACATTTGGTTTTGAAGGTGTGAGGAAGGAAATAGGGAAAAAATTTATTTTTCTATGAGACGTCAGCTTCTTTGAGGCAAAAGGGACCGACAATGGAAAAAAAGGGGTCAAGGTTTGTTGTTCGGGTCTGGTTAGTCTTTTAGAATTATTATAAGGAAAGGAGAGATAAATTGTTGAATTTTTGGACTATGTACAATTTTTTGATGCGTGATTGTTTTGTATGTTGTATTGTAACATGTTTTTGTGTTATATGTATGTCATCGATATTGAATTTGATTTATAATATTAGCGTAGCCGCTGCAAAATTTACATATGTCTGTTCTGTAATTGATGCTGTGTTTTCTCTTTTGTTGTAAACCATTTCTAAAAAGGTACATTTATGTTTGTTGAGCTCTGTGTTTAATATTTTTAGATTTTTAAATTGAAATTGTGTTGGTGTTCAAAATGATGGGTAGCCAGTACTGTAGGATTTTGTTTGGGTTTTTTGCAATCACAGATATGTTGTTTTATCCTCTTATCCAGATATTGGGATGTATGTTGTAATTCTGATGCAAGTTGCTGGACAATTTTATACAATTGATTTTGTAAATTACATCAGACTTATTTGTTTCTGGTATTGGATCTTTAATTTTAGAAAAAAAGGGTGTGAACAGTTTTTTAGTTTTTGAAAGCTATCAGAAGAGAGAAATGTGTTTAATTTGTGTGATAGGCCGTGAACAAATGGAATGGATATGTATGTTGGTTTGTCTGTGATGGAATTGATGTGGTGTTAGAGAAGTAGATGGTGTTAGTGTTGAGTTGTAGTTATTGATTATTCTGTTGATTATGTTTAGTGTAGTGTTGGTAATGTAGGATAAGTTTGTATATCTTTATGTTTTTGAGGTGAAAAGATTCATGGCTCTCATAATTCTGTGAAGTACTTAAAATTCACACCGTCCCCTTCGTAAATTAATAAACACTCCCAGAGGGCTACTTCACAGAGTATACAGAATTGGGCTTATCACTTCTCACCGGCAAGTCCAGCTTTTTTAATTTACAATAAATTACCATCAGGCTCAAAAATTACCCACCCTGAGTGATGGCAGTCCGGGGTCAGATTTCAGTCTTATCCATACAGCCTAGTGGCTGTCAACAGTTATATCATTTCAGCCCCCAACATAAATTCCTTAAACCAAACCTATTCACTTTGTTAGGGTGGTTGAGTACTTACTATTCCTCTATCACCGTACACCTATTGTTTATAACTTAATTGAGCCATCTGCTCTCTCTCACTACACATGCACGCCAATACATATGTTCACACATGCTAAAGACACAAAACTATCATTACTATATACGATAAAACAACCCTCCAAGAATCAGAACAGGGTACACTGATATTGACTGTCGGGCTAAAGTAAATTCTCATATCTGGTAGCATTCCTACACACTCGCTATATGGAGTCAAGGAATTGCACCCTTCAATTAGGTGGGACACATTGAGCTACCTTTCTCTGCATGCCCAGATACATACATGGGCTTTGGTCCAAAAGTAAGTGAACATGGGTCAACCTTGTTTGGCTTTTTCCTAATAAAGTGAGGATGACACTTTTTCCACAAGTCCGGTTCTCCGAGGGTCAATTATCAACTTCTTAAGACACGAGAGCTTCCCTGCCAATCTGGCCCAACGATGCTGCCTCTTCTTTTGTCATATTTTTTATTGCATTTTCAGCAACAGGGGGGCCGGATTGCCGTTGTTAAGTCTACAGGTTGAGACGCCCATTACCAAAATTATTCTGGGTGTATTATACCCATCGTTTTAAAGGTTGAATGCTGCACATTCTAAATAGTATTGGCTAAATTTTTCACTTGCTCATTTTGTAAAAAATCGGAGGCTTAAAGCTGTTGATGAGCCTCTCTTTTGGAGTACCCTTGGTAGGCCGTCCACTGGAGCCGAACTTGCTTGGCCGTTGCACGGCCGAATAGGGCCGGATGATCCAAAAGCAAAGAAACAAATGAGCACGCGTCCGTTAGAACCAATTTGTTCGGTCGTGTTGGGCCGTACACGGCCCAAGCACTTTCCAATCCAAATAAAGTTGGATTTTCCAGTCCTATTCAGCCGAATGGTTACTTCGACTTCAACTGTCAACCACGTGACATCAAATGCTCACCATTGTTTAACGCCGTTCTTTGCTTTTTGCTTACCTTTTCGTTTCGTTTTCATTTCGATGGATTGCGAAAAATTGATGTGCGGTTGAGGAGCAGGCTCTTGGGACATGCGTGATCCACTCTATCATCGGAGAGATGTCCAGCGTAAGCTGTGGTCAAGGATAGCTTTAGAAATGGAACTTCCAATATTTTTGTTTATTTCTTTCATTCCATTTGTATGTAAACTAAGAATTTTCGAGCAGCAACAAATCTACATCCATTTGGGCTGTGCCGTGAACTGACAAAAATCGGCTACAGTGGACGACGGCGTTCGGCTATATTGCCGGTTGTCCGTCTGGTCAAATAGTTCGGCTGTTGAACGGCCGTCGTAGTTCGGGTTCAATGGACGAGCAGCCTAGACTAGTTATCCTATTATATCTGAGGTTTTACCCTCTTAAATGGCTCTATATTTGTTTTTTATTATAACCATTGTCATAATTTTTTTTTTTTTTTTTTTTAAGCTTATAGCTTAAGAAATAATCCATTCATAGCATAGACTAATAACATTTCTTTGTTAACTTAAAATAAAAACTCTAAGGAAACTAATAAAGTTGTGTGTAATAATGTACTTTTGCAAATTTAAAATAAAATAAAAAATTTCCTTTTTTAATGCCATTGTCTAATTCTAGGTTTAGCAATGAAGAAGAAGCGTTAAGGATCGCAAATGACACCAAAACAGGTCTAGCTGGTTACTTCTACTCCAATGACATATCACAAATCTTCAGGGTTTCAAAGAAATTACAAGTCGGGATGGTGGGTATAAATGAAGGTGCTATAAGCACTCCTGAAGCAGCATTTGGTGGAATAAAGGAATCGGGGATCGGTAGAGAGGGGTCTCATTATGGCATGGATGAGTTCATCAACATAAAATATTTATGTTTTGGTAACTTATAAATGTGAACAAAATTACTTTTCAAAATAAGTACAATAATAATCTAAAACATATTTTCCTCTTTTGTTATTATTAAATTAATAGATTTTTCTTCAAATTGTAATTGAATTTTTTCAAAATAAATCATGGCATGTTTTTTGTTAAGGACAATGGGGGTAAAAACTTGTAATTTGGTTAATTCAGATCATCAGTCTATCCTTGCTGTATTGGTTGCTACCGAGTCCTTAATCAGTATAACGGACCAACTTTATTAAAGAAGTTAAATGGAGATTATTAAATTAATACGGAAGATTATTAAATGCCATGTATGAGAGACAAGGTCACAAATGACAACCATGAGGTTATGTAGACTAGATTGATCAGAAATGGCCAAAAAAACAATATATAATACTTAAACAATGAAATAAAATTAGAAATGGGTTGATATTCAGTACATAATTGAAGCAAAATAGGTGCCTTTCATGATACTACACATCTATGGAAAAAAGGTTAGTAAGTTAGTATTAACATAGTGTGATAAAAGGGCTTCCATATAACAATAATATAATCAATTAAACTTATAAACACAACAGTTGTGATGTCAGTTAAAGTGTGTAAAAATTTAATTAAATTAAAAAATATTTTTATTTAAAAAAATAAAATAAAATGCAAATATAGTTAGTAAAAAAAGTCTGCATAAAGTTTCAGCATATCCCAAAAGTGTTGGGAACACATTTTTTATATTATATTAATACAAATAATAAATTATTAATGTTTGTATGGAATTTACATCCAAAACTTTTTTTTTCTAAAGGCTAAATCATAACATGAAAGTTATAATTAATGAGACAGATAACAAAATCTCCAAACAATGAAAACTTGTGACAAAATGAAATTTTTTTGAGAAAGAGAGAGAGAGAGCTTCATGAAGTCAAGTTTTGTTTACATCAGAACCAAGATTTTCCCATTCTTCTTTGACATCTCAGTCAGATGATGTTTAATTTTTATGTCTCTAGTTTGCATTCTTCTCTTCATTTCTAACTAGTGATGTTCGATGGAATAATCTGGTGATAGTAGGGATGTTTTTAGTTGGCGAGGAGCATTGTACAATAACCACTCCTCTGTTTTCTTAGCACGATCTTGTTGGAAAACAAAATTCACCACGTTTCTGTACACTGGCCTCAAAATTTTTTAATTTATCAACCCCTGATGACGCCTTGCACCCCATACCATTTGCTTCATTGTTACACACTATTTTTGGAATTTCACAGCTTTTTTCTGCCACACTAACATCTATCAGAACAGAAAACATTAAATTTTGACTCATCACTAACAATTACACTGTCCCAGAAGGTTGAAAGCTTGTTTGTATACAATTTTGCTAATTAAACTCTTCTGCTAAATTCACTGGTGTAGGCTTTTTATAGAAGATCGTGTCCTAAGGCCACATTTTTTAATGGTATTGTGAACCTTTGAGGTGTTACTTGAAACATTTTAAACATATCCAGCTAGCGCAGGGACACTAGTAGAAGATTCCAAGTTCACATATTGAAGAATCATTCTCCTAAGAGGTCTCTCTATTTTCTTTGGCCACCTTGGTCGGTGTTAACTTTCCAAAGTGTCGTTAGTTTTGTAGTTCCGAATGAACGTTTGTACAGTTGCCACAATTTTTGCAATTTCAATTAATAATTTTCCAACAACCTAATTTCAGCCGGCACCTCCATTAATAAAATATTTACAAGATTACTGCCTCGCACAATTGATTCTTAATTATTACAAAGTAAATTTGAAAATAAAAGTGTTTTTGCTTAAACCAACATCTATTTACTACAACAAATATTAAGTTTTCCTTAATTTTATAATAAGCAAAACATTTTTTTTTTTTAAGAAAAAATAAATTTTTAAGGGTGTATACAGACTTCTTTTACTAACTGTTAAATTAATTAATTGAGAAATATAAAATGTAAAAAGATGAGTAAATATAATTGCATTTTTAAAAAGCCATTGCGCTTACTTGTCTGATAACATGGCTTCCATAAGAAAATAATTTGTTAAACTCAACCAAAAATTAGTTAAGAAATTTTAAATTTATTTTTATGTCGTAAGTATATATAAATATTGGTATAAAGATTAAGTGAGTAGTTGTTTAATCTAGTGTACTATATTGCCATATTTACTAGCTAGTCAATTTGTTTTATGCCTTGCTGTATATTGTTTCTAGTGTTCTCATCAAGTATGATAATAAATTTATCTTTCATGTTGCAATAAACATGTTAATATTGTTATAACTAGAGTCTTGAAGAACCAAAGCTCAAATTAATGTAATATACTTCAAAGGATAAATTTTAATAGCAGTGACAGAGTGAACTGAGGTGTGTTACCAATAATGAATGCAATGTGTTTCTGGTATTAATGTTTGGGTTAAGATTAAACCAAAAAGAATTTACAAAAGTAGAATGAAACCTTTTTTCCACCAAAGATTCATTTGAATACCCTGATTAGTGTATGAAGTCATATTGTCACCAAATTTCAGTTAATACAGGTATAATGGCTAGAGAATTATCAATTCCATGGTTAGAATGGATATTAGAATAGTAAGACAATTAGGAATTAGAATGAAAGAAATATTAGAAATAAGGAAATGAAGGACCAAAACATCCAAATTTAAATGGTGACAGGAAAGAAAAATCAAACACCAATTTAAATTTATTTTTATCTCTATCAGACACCAATTTTCTTGCATGGCTGGACAAATCAACAATTAAATATTTTCTCTTGAGTTTTTTGCTGGTGAACTGAAGAGCCACATTTGTCAACAGTCAAAGCTATACATACAGTGCTCAAAAGAATGGAATTGATGGAATGTTTGAATTGATAACAGTGACATAAAAAAATTTTGACTGCCGAACTTCTGATGGGTATGGTCAAAATGCATAGCTATAAGGACTTGGTCAAATGAATTTCGGTATGAGAACTAACCCTTTAGTTTAATCAGTTGGCTATTGTTTTGTTGATAATACCCAGCTTTTTGATCTCCCTGGTTCAATAGCCAGAGTTTCTTGAAAATCATCCCACGATTTGTATGAAACCTGTCTATGGTTTATTTCCATAGGTGCCAGCCTCTGATCAATACTTGGTTCTCGGAGCCACCTGTTTACCAATCTCCCTTTGTTACACAATACAGCTAAATTAACAATCATATTGTCAGCACTGAGCAAGATAGATCATCTTCCTGGTGAAACATTCAATAACTTGGATTCACTCAGAGATTGTAATAAATTTTCTATTGGTCCATGATATATAAGAAAAGATAAACACAATAAAAGAAAAAATCGTTAGGTCGATCATCAGGGCATCAAAGGAAATTAAAGGTTGGATAAAGGTTCCTCCGCAGATGCACAAAAAAAGAAGTTATAATTGGCCAACTTGCCGGATGAGCAAGATCGAAAGGCTAAAAGATATCAAACACAAGGTGAAACCGAAGCATGGGAATTTTTAAAAAAGAGGATAGAATTAACCCGCCTGAGGTTGGCCATAACTGGTTGGTTAACTTATCAGAAAAAGGCTTGAGCAGTGCTCGTACTTATGTAGAGTCACCACAAAATATCCAAACTATGACTGCAAGATACTGAAAAAAGTGCAACATGTCCATCTACAAAAAAAATTAAATCATATCTCTTCACTAGTGGCTTTTATTCATGAGTGACTGTATTTATCAGCAACAATAGTTAAGAGTGTGTACTACTGAATCTTGAGTACTTCATAGGCCCGTCAAAGTAGTTTAGGTTCTCTTAGATTAATATGTTTGTAGTATAAATGGCGAAGCACTAGTGGTCAAAACCCCCATACCACCCCTTTGTCAACGTATTTATAAGAGTGAAAGGTGGAATATATTGTATCCCACAGACCTGTTGACTGAAATTTGAAACTAATTAGTAGTGTGAATGAATTTAGTGTGACAGGGATCTATTAGTACTAAAACAGTAGGTCCATATTTTTTTTAAAAAGATAGGTTCTACCATGAATGTAATTATTATTGTGAATGGTGGGAGGATGTAGAGGTTATGAATATCCTGCTGGACTCCCAGCTGTAGGTCTAGTTTGTACATAGCTTTTATATTATTAGGCCGGATCTGCAGTGGTATATCTTGTACTTCCAAGTCCCTTCAAACTTAAGTTATTTTTTGTAATGGACCACATATAAGGCCGGTTAAATATTAGAGACAGCAAAGCTGACTAGTCCCATCCAAAAGAAATGAAACTCCTGACTATTCTTCATGTGCGCCATTTTGCAGATACTCGCAAGAGGAAAAAATTGAGAAATTGTATGGAAGCAAAAACAACTGTTACACACTTATTCCAGATTTTGTAATATGTGAAATAAAATACATTGATTACTGGAATTTCTATTAGGTATTTATAATTTATTTGTATAATATTTGATACAATATAAAATATGATATAAAAATAATTATTATTAATTTCATAGATTAAAAAGTTTAATAAAAGGGACATATAAAATCAAAAGAGATGAATTGACAATACTTCTATTTAAAGGTGCATGCAATATGAAATTGCAATAATCAACCATTTGATTATAGAATGAAGCTGCTATTATCTAAAAATCAGAAACATTATGTACAGGATAAAATTAATTTTTGAACTGTATTTTTTCTTCCACTTTTGAAATAGTTTATGCTTCAAAGACCTATATTTTAGCTTCGATTTTGTCATGTGAAATTTCATCACTTCTGATCGCAATCAAAAAGTCGTTAAGAGCTTCCAAATACTCTTCTCTATGATACATCAGATGGGAGACATGGCGAGATTTTTCCCAACATTTCCAGTAAGTCTAAAAAAAAAAAAGTTTTTTTAACTGTTGATTTTTTAATTGTTTTATATGGTGGGGAAAAAAAAAACTGATTTCTATTCTTTACAACTTATAAAAGTTAGTCCTTCCATGTATTTTAAAATTAGCTTTTACATATGTACCAAAATGGCATCTCGCAAATGTTAAATTATTATCGCAAATTAACTTGGGCAAGTCAAAAAATATAAGTTTAGCAATATCTTGCAGCAAGGTGTCACACACAAGGTCACCTGACAATTGCGGCAGAAGTATTGCGATTTTCACCAAAATGGCTTTACCATAATGATCTTCTGATGAAAAGGAAAGCTAAATTGTTGAAAAATTAGACTATGTAAAAATGTTTGATGTGTGGAATGTGATGAATGTTTTATGTAATATGTTTTGTGTGTATTATATCATCACATCACACAAAACATATAAAACATTCATCACATTACACACATCAAACATTTTACATAGTCTAATTTTTTAATAATTTAGCTTTCCTTTTCCTATTTATCCCTGTCTATATAATCCTGAAAGGATAATCTGGCCAAACCATTACTGTTTTTTCCCATCGTCAGCTCTTTTCACCTCAAAGAAGCCGATTCCTTACTACATCACACCAGACCACATCTCACGATTTCTGAATAATCAGTTAAGAAAAAAATTTAGCCCAAGTTAACTCAGGATGATATTTGAGATATTCTTTGAAAACGAGTTATATTGCTATATCAATATCATACCTTTAATCCAACTGATTCCCATGTTTCTCTCGCTTTCATGCTAGCAATCACAGATCCAATAACATCGTTCTTGGATACAAAAAATAATGCCGGACATCTTACAGGAGTGGTGTGGAAGAACTGACTAGACCTCACATAATGTTGGGTCGCTACATCATAAAATGTCTTTAAATGGTAACTGAAATATTGTACAAATTGAATTAAATATTATCTAGATACAAGAGTTAAACTCGAACACAAAAATTCACACTTACCTTACATATCTCTCCATAGTTGAACGAAGGAAAGCATTCCTTGGAAAAATGGCTTGAGGAAGTCCTTTTGTCGTTTCAGTAACATCTGCTGCTGAGTCCCAGATTTGTCCTTTAATTCTGTCAATAATGTTTGCATATTTTGGTAAGTCACTGTTCATCTTGACAAGTACTTCCCCCCAAAGATAAGCACCAATGGAAAAGCCATGGAGTATCAGCTGCTGTTGGTTTGCACTGTTATGCAAATATTTTAACAAATCTTCAGCCACTACCTAATGAAATAATTTAAAACAGTAGAATAAATCAGTCTTTTCTTCTTTTTTTTTTATTTAAGAATTTACAACTTGGTCTGCTCTTTGTAAATAATAACAACAAATTTTCTTCTATTTACTCTCAGTAACTAACCAACAGGCAAGAATAGAAGATGAATTTACTCGAATTACTGAAAATAATTTCAATATATTTAAAAAAAATTATATAAATGAAATTTTTTAGTTAAAACCTTGCCAAAAACTTTAATTTCAAAGTCAATCAAGTAGTGTAATTGTGTTACCTGTGATCCAGTGATAGGCCAGAAAAACTGCCATGGAGTTATGGAAACTGTCATTATATTAAACCCTTTTTTTAAATATATATCACAGTATTTGCCCACGTGCTTTTTTCGGGCAAGCAACCACGTTAACATAATAACCAAAGGTTTCGAACCATCCTTGAATACTTTAGAAGTATTATTTGTACCCATGGGCACGAATGAGTCCGTACTGATCAGTTCGAAGCTTTTGTTCACAACATGCTTTGAAAATGTTCTATTGCTAGAAGGGCTGATGGACATCATGCCAATCAGAGATTTAGCCTGGAAAAACAAATCAAGTTATGGCTCAGAAATGGAAAGATACAAGTTCATAAAATATTTACTTTAGAGGCTAGGAGGGTTCTGTTGGCAACAGAAAACGTAATTAGTCTAACAGACATGGTGGATTATAATTGTCTCTTTCTAAAAAAAAAAAAAAAAAAAAAAAAACTTTATTAACTTAAAAATATTTAACAACAGGAAATCGTGTAAACTAAAGAAAGATATTCCATAGACTTATTTTATCCCTACTGCCCATATCTGAAAAGTAGTCACCCTTCAATATGATTAAGAAATATCTCTCTTTTCCACATTGAAATTTCAAGTGAACCTTTAAATTCTTATCTCCCTAAATAGCTTACCAGTGAAACACAAGTATTACAAAAACGTTATCGTTTTTTGTTTATTTTTAAAGTTGTTCTTAAAGACTTGATAGCTGGTAGTAGCAGTTCCATTTTCTTATCTACAAAAAACCACTTCATGGCCAAACCCAGGGTCAAATGATAGATCGGGCATTCAAAAGGATAACTCATTGGATTACTTCCTTATCCCAACAAAGAGTTATTTTTCTAATCTAAAACACATTGCAAGTATAAGAAATTTTAGATTATCTAAGAAGAGCTCCTCATCTTTTAATACAACAATTTAATTTTGAAGACTGATTGCTAGTAATAAGAAAAGTAAAAGAAATATCAAGTTACTGCCTTGGTGATGGCGATGAGGATACTAGGAAGCAGGATTGCAGATGCTACTGCCTTCTGGCTTAGTTCCCAAGATCCTGCCTTATTTTAGTTCTAAGTTATGTACCGATTCTCAATTTCAAATATAACAATAATTTGCTGTTTTAAAAGGACAGGTCTTGAAAATGATTATTGTAGATCTGTTCCTTTGCATGAGAGAATTTTTAATGTTATCTACTTACTATCACTATCTCTCTCTCTCTCAAAAAAAAAATTAATAAATAAATAAATAAGTAAATAAATATAAAAAAATCAATTTTTCAGTTCTCTTTCTTTTATTTAGGTGAACAGGTGAAAATGTCCCACCCAAACTTAAAACTTCAACGTTTTTATTTAGTAGGCTTGTAAATTATTCAGGGTGTAGCGTGTTCCCTCAAGATGCTAACTTTTTCAAAATCAATTCCTAAGTTTTTTACAGATTCTAAAACTAGATTTTATATATGTTGGTCGTTTAAATTGGTGGATATATTCTAAGATAAAGATTTTATGTTGTTATTGTTTCATTTCATACATTTTTTCATGTTGGATTCAAATTGGCATAAAAGGAATTTTTTTAAAGTCCCGAGTATCCCATGGTATGAACCTGACCTGACACCAATAGATTTTTCGTCAGGGCTTTTGAAAATGGCCGTGGCTGAACAAAAATCACACAGAACCACTATTGAAGATGGCAAGAAGCCAAAACCCACCTGACAAACCAAAACAATCAAATTAAAGTTATCATTTATTGTTAAAGATCCTGGTAGGGGAAGAAATATAAAGCCTAATGTTGGAAATTGAACAACAAATAAAGAACTTTAAAGGCCTACCAGTGAAGAGGGCAATAGGCCGAAACCGACCTGACCGAACAAAACAGCAACAATAGGTAGATCAAAATATTTGGAAATAACAATGGTAAACTTTAGTTTTTAACTTTGGACCCTCAGGACAAAACAGTTTAAGTAAAAAACACAACTACGCACCGACACTTATCTACTTTTTAACCCAAATTTAGGCCACTTGCTAATTATTGAAATAACCAAATTTAATTATTAAATAGAGTTAAAGAAACAGGTTGGGAAGAAAATATAAAACTTAGTATATAAGAAAATGAACGACGAATAAAAGTACACCAGAGAGTCAAACAGACCAAAATGATTGGAAATGACCAAACTATAGGTCGATCACCTCACAGACCTCATGAAATTCCTACTAAACTTAAATACATTTCTTTGTAAATCTTCTATTAAGTTCCAATTACTATAATATCCATACAGATAAATGGAACTTTGCTACGACTAAAACAATAAACCTTGAAAATAAATGATTATTTGGAGATCGTGAGATGCGGTCTTTAAAATAAATAAACTGACATACTGTATTGGTTTTATTCTAGGTTTTTCCAAACTTTTTTAGGCACTAATGAATTATTTAATTGCAATAATTATTTTATTTGACCAATGTTAGAAGGTAGGCAGCTTTAACAGAATAAAACAGAAGTAAAAAATAGTTCTTAAAATGCACAAGGTGCCGAAACGTCAGAAAACTATAATTTTATTTAAAAACAGCTTCAACACAAAGACCTTAAAAAAAGAAAAATATTCATCTATGAAGTATCATATACATTATATTTCTAAAATTGGCTCAAATATAATAAGCTGTATTTGGTCGTTTCCAATAATTTTTGACTGTCCATCCTCACTGTTTTGGATTGTCAGAGCAACATCTTCAGAGTCAGGCCTGATTTTTTTATTTTTTGTTAAGGCTCTTATATATTTATCAAAAGTGGAAGGAGTGAGTCGGCGTTGTCTTTGTTCTGTTTTGTCTATTTTTTGTTATTAAGCCACAGACATGCTGGTGAAGATAACGAGAAGTAAAAACTCGCTTGAAAGACCAAAACAACAAGGATAGGCAAATAAAAATGTTAGGAAACAACCATATTTAAGTTTAGTTATTATATATTGTTAAAGATCCTTGTAGAAAATAAAATATAAATAATGACACGTAGGAAACCAAACTGAACAATAAATCAAATAAAACTTTTTAAAAAATACTGAATGAAGTTCGTATCAATTCGTACAAATCGTCGAAGTACACAGAAAACAAACATTTTGAGTGAGTACAAATACTTTGATTGAATCTAAAATTTCTATCATTGTATAAATTCATTTTTTCACATCTTACATGTATTTGTATAATTTAAACAATGTTTGTAAATCCCAAGCCCTGAAGATGATCTCAATAAAGATAGAAACATTGGCACGATAAAGAAAATGCTTTTCTAAACCTATGTCACACCAGACCGCATCTGACCATCTCCAAATAATCTAAGAATATATTAAATACACTCTAGTGTTTAGGAAAAAGTTTGAAAAACCTAGTATAATGCCTAATTTTACTAAAAATAAGTATATATTTTGACTTTTTAATACATAAAAATCTGTTCCCTGGTGATTATTAAAACAATTTGTTTTTGTTGAAGGTCTTTTGAAGCTCTGACCAGCTTCAGCTGAGGAAGTTGTGAAGCTTTCAACAAGAATAAATTGTTTTATAGTTTAATACATCACTGTACTTAAGAAAAAAGTGTTAAAGATAAATTAGAGTAGTCTACGGTGATTTTTGTGTAATTTGCTATCTATAACATATTTAACAACTCTTTAATCAAATCAAAAAATTGTAAGAGAAAAGCAAATATTTTTTTAAGAGAATTAAAACGCGAATAAACTCTTACCTTTTGATAGTAGAACTGTAATAACAATCAAAGTCTATTAATCATTGTTTGGAGGAATGCGAGATATGCACAATCACAGTCTGGATCTCGTCAGATAAACTGATTTGCTTTGTAAATTCTTTCAAATAAATTAAAAAACGGGGCATTATCTATTTATATATTGTTGTTAATTTTAAATATTTCCAGTTGAAAGGAAGATTTTATTTATCTAGGACATTTTTAAATTTTCGATGGTTTGTTTATTGAACAACTCGAATTAACCAGTCAAACTATGGACCCTGTCAGATAAACTTTTTCGGTTTGAAAATTCTTTCAGATTAATTAACAAACTGGGTATTATCAATTTATACATTGCTTATTTTTAATTTTAACTATTCCCAATTAAAAGAAAAACAATTATCTGGCTCGTTTTTAAACTTTTAATAGTTTGTTTACTGAACAGCTCAAATTCAACTGGTCACACTTTGGATCTCATCAGATAAACACTGTTTCATTTGAAAATTCTTTCATATTAACAAACTGGGTATTATCAATTTTTTTAAAAATTTTAAATAGTCCCATTTAAAGGATTTTTTTATCAGGGTCATTTTTAAATTTTTAACGGTTTGTTTATTGAACACCTCGAATTCAACCAGTCACAGATTGGATCTCGCCGCATAAACTGTTTTTTTTTTCCAAAACACCGGCACAGTTTGGTTGAGGGTTCAAACAACCTCGTAGTTGAAAAACCCTCTTAAAAAAAAAATCAGGTTGAAAATTTTTTCAGATTAATTGTCAAACTAGACATTATATCATTGATGGTTTTGTTTATTGAACAACTCAAATTCAACCGGTCCCAATTTGGATCTCATCAGATGAACTGTTTCAGTTTGAAAGTTCATTCAGATTAATTAACAAACAGGGCATTATCAATTTTTTTTTTTTTTTAATTTTAATTTTAAACATTAGTGTTTAGAGAGATTTTATTTAATTGGCTCGTTTTTAAACTTTTAATAGTTTGTTTACTGAACAGCTCAAATTCGACCGGTCCCACTTTAAATCTCATCAGTTAAACTGTTTCAATTTGAAAATTCTTTCAGATTAATTAACAAACTAGACATAAATTTATACATTACTTATTTTTAATTTCAACTATTCCTATTTAAAAGAAAATTTCATTTCACTGGGTCGTTTTTAATTTTTTTTTTTTTTTTGAACAACTCAAATTCAAGCGGTCCCAATTTGGACTCGTCAGATAAACTGTTTCAGTTTGAATATCTATTCAGATTAATTAACAAACCGGGCATTATCAATTTTCATTTTTTTTTTAAATTTTAAATATTAGCGTTTAGAGAAAGATTTTATTTAACTGGATCGTTTTTAAATTTTAGATGGTTTGTTTATCGAACAGCTTAAATTCAACTAGCTCAGCAGTACTCCTAATAGGTTTTGACTGATAATGTAATTATGTTATTAACTTTTGAAAAAACAGAAATCCCACTTTTTCAGTTTCAAGACACAAACGAAACGATAAATAAATTAATTGATAAGAAATGAATACAATTGATACGAAATAAATTTAAAAACCTATCCAAGGTCGAATCGATGAATAAAAAGACCGGAGGTAATAAATTCGACCGTGCTGTTTAAACAAAACGTCAAAATTCGACTTTACCGCTATGCGTCGATGAGAAGAGAGAAGCTTACGCACGAAGCGGCTGTTGTCGAGAAAAAGCGTTCGATAATCGAGCCAGACGTGCCGTGGAAATTGTCAAATGATTACGTCCGTTAATCGCGTTTCGGATGGTCTCGAGTGCTGCTATATAGCTGAAGGACTCACAAGCTCCGAGGCAGCGGGGCGAAGGACGTCCACCAACTGGCAGCTATCAGGAAGGAAACGGGACGTCGACGAAACCTCACCTCGGCTGCGGTACAACACTGAACAGACGTCAGTATACAAGCTGGCGGAGACGACCTCGTCTACAGTTCCCACTTCTCACGTCTATCCCACCACCGACTCCCTTCCGCCCTTTTCTAACATATAACTTTCCGCTTTAACTTTGACGTGTTTTTTAGGGAGTCAAGGCCAATCGATAAACACAACCATATCGTAGGCGACTAATTTTCCCTCATTCATAAATATTAAAAACTATAAGTTCGTGGTGAAATGTCCTATGTTGTCTAGTTGACCAATACAAATTCTACCAATGTACAACATAGCGATTGTTTGTGTAAAGGTATTATTGTACAGCTAAAAAATAGGGTCTGGCAGGCAAGCATCCTTTCTAAACTTTATAACTCAGCCCTTATTACCTTATTCTGGAATCCTACTGATCGCTGCTTCAGAGAAAATACCCATACCTATAACCCACAAGACTTGGTCTCATCCTGTATACCATTTACACTGCTTGCTTCTCTATGCATCCCAAAACCATCATTACCAACTTACGCGGATGATGTCTTGGCCTCGGAAATCCAGGAATACATTGGGTCTATCAATGCCTGGTGCCAATGGTGACGGACAAGACTGAATGGGAGAAAATGTACACAGTGTACATTTACATCAAACAAAACAGTCTTCCCCTGCACTACGCATCAACAACAAGGATATGCTGATTTGCGTTCAAGTCAGATACTTAGGATTACACCTAGACAGCAGACTGACGTGGATTCCCAGGCAAACAACTTAACGGAAGACTTGGACAACTGCGACGACCTTTAGGACCGAAATTTGAGGGAGAAAGAGTAAGTGAGAGACAGTGAGTGGGAAAGAGAAAGAGAGAGAGAAAAAGAGAGTGAGTGAGAGAGAGAGAAAGAGATTGAGTGTGTGTGTGTGTGAGAGAGAGAGAGAGAGAGAGAGAGAGAGATTGTGAGTGAATGAATGAATGTGGTTTTATTTAGTGTCGCAGAATTTGATCATTCACCATTCTTACATTCAGCGACACACAGTAAGAGAGAGAAAGAGAGTTAGTTAATAAATGAGAATGAGTAAGAGAGAAGGAAAGAGAATGAGTGAGTAAGCAAGTGAGACAGAAAGAAAGAGAGTGAGTGAAAGAGAGAGGGAATGAGGGAGTGAACAAATCCATAAGGTCATCCCAATAATAAAAGAAAGTGAATGACTGAAAAATTGATTTTTTTAAGAGAGAGAGGGATGGAGGGAGGGAGAGAGGGAGGGAGGGAGAGAGAGTGGGAGGGAGAGAAATGAGAATGAGTGATAAGTGAATGAGAATGAGTGAGACAGAAGGAAACAGAGTGAGTGGGAAGAGAATGAATGAAAGAAAGAGAGAATAAGTGAGTTTACAAACACATAAGGTCACCCCAAAAATAAAAGAAAGAGAACGACTGAAAAATTGTTTTTTTTTTAGAGAGAGAGAGAAATTGAAAGAGGGAATGGTAGTGAATGAATAAGTGAGTGAAAGAGAGAGTGAGTGAAAGTATGAGTGAGATGAAAATGAAAAATCAGTCACACAGGTGTATCACAAATCAGTACCACAATCGCAACCCTTCTATTGTTCTTAATTCATTATTTTGAGCAAAATCATATGATAAATTGTTAGTTAAATTTTTTTTTTTAAATAAAGTTATTTCGGTGCTTTGATAAATTTTCTGCTTAATCATCATAATTAAATAATTTTTATAAAAACTCTTGAATTTTTGATCTTGTTTAATTTGGTTTACATTAAAATAAGCATGTTGTAATTAATATAACGACAAAATTACATATACATAGTTTGAAATAAACGACAAAAAATATGTGTCCGCTTCTGACGCTACTCGACGAAATAGGAGTAATTTTATGAACAAAACCATGTAATAAATTGTTAGTTAAATTTTATGAACAAAACCGTGTAATAAATTGTTAGTTAAATTTTATGAACAAAACCATGTAATAAATTGTTATTTAAATTGATTCTATAAATAAATGGTATTCCGTTGTATTGATCAATTTTCTGCTAAACCATTAAAATTAATTATTTAAAATAAAAATTTGTGAATTTTTGATCTCGCTTAATTTGGTTTATATTAAAATAAGTACGTTGTAATTAATATAACGACAATAATACATGTAGTTTGAATAAAAATATGAGTGTCCGGTTCTTTTGTCTTCGACTGTACTCGATGCTACTCGACGAAAATCTGGACAGTGGGGATCACGTAGCGTAGAGTAGGGTAGCATTGCGTGTATTGGGGGGGGGGGCAGATTTGCACGCCGGTAATACAACCATATGTAAAATTGGATTTCGGACTTTCATCGGGTAGCGTTGCATAGCATTGCATCGGGTAAGTGTGTTACCCGCTTAAATGACCTTTCCTTCCAATCCTCTTTATATTTGGGCTCCGTTTTTAAGGTTTCTCAGGTCAACGTCATTGTAGAGGTAGACTTTTTCAAAGAGCGGGGATTATTGAGCGCTGAGGATGAGCGCTCTGAGCTAGTTCGGATCAGGAGTGGTGAACGCGAACGAGCTGCGTGAATGAGAATCACGTGATCGTTGCGAAGAGAGAATATGATTCACCGCTATGGAAAAGAGCTTCTTCCATTTCCAGTCACGGATCGTTCGCACAAGGGTGAACTGGTTCTTTTGACCTGTCTACAATCTAGTTACATTCAGTTTTGGGTGAGCGTTTATCGTCAAACTATGGTGATACGGACGCGCTTTAATCGTTTATAAAAAGTAACAAAGCTTAAAATGTTTACTTTTACACTATCTACCTACACTTCGGCCGCAATCTGGTACAAGTAAGCATGAAATAATTATTTCTATGTGTTTTCCTTGTTTCTTGTTATCGAACAGGTAATTCCTCCTCTTACGTTTAACTTTTTTAAAATTCTTGTCGAGCGAAAGGAGAATTGTCTCCCGATTGTTTTGTTATTAACTATGGGACTCAATCGGAGGAAATTATGATTTTCAGGTAGAAATATGGATAGAAACTTGATAAAATAGGCTTGAAGGCCGGCCTGATGAACCTAATCGACTGGTAATTTAAACAAGTCATTAGCACTGTATTTAAAATCGTTGAATAAAAAGCTTGACTGTCGGGTCGGATTTCGCAAAAAGCTCATGAAATTATACGTACAATAATAATATACAGCACACAACAACAACATGACAGCAAACCAAAAATGTAAGTGATTCTCAGCACTCCGACTTCATCTTTATTGAAACTATTCGTACACATATCGAACAAATCGATGACGTTAGATCCATCTACTCTCGCCGGTTTACGTTCCGACTTTACGGAATTCCGGATAGTTCTCGATGATTGGAGATGGTGTGAAGACCAAATGCATATGAGTGAACCGTAAGAAACCAGAGAGAGTAAATGGAATGGGTAAAAGTACATTACACTTTTTGTAATGAACTAGAATACAATTTTAGCAACAATTGTTGCCCTCCCGTCTTTTCTTAATAGTTACTATTGACTAGGAGGTCCTGAGATCATCTTCCCCTTCAGTCGCCTGACTGGGCCGTAGTGGTGGTTCGACATGGATAGAGGGTTTTCTGGATTAGGTTTGTTACTGGGGCTATTTGGGAAAGTGGGAGAAACCCCTCTGTTGGAAACGGCACCATCTGCTTTTACACTGACGGATCTAGAATGCAGGAAGGGCCCTGAAACCAAATACTCAGGACCTAAGGGGAAAATACACCAGTACCTTCCAGGCTGAATTACGTGCAATTGAGATGTTCCCAGTTCAATCTGAATAAAGGGTACGAAAACGAGAAAATAGCTAGCATATCAGATAGCCAAGCAGCCAACAAAGCACTAAGTTCAAACATCATTAGCTCAAAGATGCTGCTGAATTGCAAACTAAAATAAATAGATTAGGTGTGCAAAATAAAGTTACCCTCTACTGGGTCCCAGGACATCGGAGGAGAGGGCGAGAGAGCGGACGCCCTTGCAATGAAAAACTCTCTCAGACTCCAAAAATAATAAATAAAATCAGAGTGACTATATGATATTTTGCATCATCCTGTTAAGTCTCAACAGGCTATAAAGGAGAAGAAGAAATCATGAGAACGTCCAATACAATTATATAGTATACAGATGGCTCCAAAATAATTTTTTGATCGGATATATTCCTTGCAAGTTCAAAATATGAGTGATCAAACTAATTAGATAAGTACACTCGGTCTTTCAAGCTGAAATACATGCTCCACACTGACAAAAAAAATCTCATAAGATCAGACAGCCAAGCAGCCATAGAAGCACTAGAACACATAAAAAAAATAGAAAGTGAATACATCCAAAACTTGAAAATCCTGGGTAAATAACAACCTGACGATATTTAGGACGACACATAGGAGTTCCAGGTAATGAAAAAGCAGACAAACACATCAGGAGGATCTGCAAAACTATATAAAAGTCTATAATACTTGGAATACTAGGACAAATACTACCCAATCTCAGAATGAGTCCATAAACAAATAAGGAAAAGTGGACGAATCCCAGAGGTGCAACACAGTAAACTCATGGGTAAAGAATCCTCACCAAAACTGGCAAACATGTTGCTACAAACAGGGTAGGAGTGTCTGGGGTCACTGGCATATGGGAAAATACCTACAAAACTTGTGTATATTCAATTATATAGGTAAAAAATAGCGATCAAACAAATTAGGGGACCTTGGTTCTTCTTGATCATCCTGAAATGCTTGTGCCGTAGAAAATCTTAATCTCTCATCGTAAGATCAGACAGCCAGCGGACTTGAAACTATTAGCATGTAAAAATGCCAAAAATTTATGACAAAAAATAATTAATAAAAATAATAAATTTTGGGTAGCTACAGCTAAGCAGGGCAAAACTCAGGAAAGTGATAGGAATATAAACCGGTCATCTTAGAAAACACACAGTATATTCAATTGTTGTTGTTCATTGTAAGTTATGGGATGAGGAGGTAGAAACTGCCATCAATTTTTGAATGCGAAGCAACGGCCCAATGAAGACATAACCTAGGCCTTTAGGAAGATCCAGGGAAGAGAGCAGAAGTCAATGACCTACTACTTCTCAAGAGAAGGATTGATTCGATTGAAATGAACTAAGGAACTAGGAAAAGTTAATAAGCCAGAAGATTGCAGAACTCGAGGAGTACAAAACCTTATCATTCCATCATCATTCACCACGAACTTGCTTGAAATGCATATAAAAATCAACAGTTCACACACATACTTACGCCATATAAGTTATACAAATTAAAAAGGAAAAGAATCGACGGTCTCAAGGACCGACCAAAACAATACAAAAAGGACATCAGACACTCACACTTTCCACCTTTCATGTAGTTATGAAAAGGACTCACAAAACAGCGAAGATGGGCAGATATTCCCATCTTTACTCATGGGTGTTGAGACCCATGAGGATCTTTAACGTCCGGACTTATTCCAGAGGGGACTTCTCAGACGGCCAGTATTCTCAAAGAGAACACCAGGAAGATTTTACATGCATGGACTTGTCACAACCCTTGGCTAGCGAGGTGGTGTAATGCTAACCAACTTCAGAAGTGCCCTGAAAAGGGTACATCATACATGTGCCTTGAAAAAGGCAGTTTTGGGGTTCCGGCACGTGCCCTTCACCACCCCCGGAGAGGTAGAAAAGGCACTCTATCTCCGGCTCCGGTTGGCCGGTACTCTCCAGCAGATCGAAATGATCTGGGACGGCCAAACTACACGTTATATTTCTCCATCCACCCACCCGACAAACCTAAGGTAGACCAAAGCCAATAAACTAGTATTACCATGTGTTAAAAAATAGATCTTGTTGTTATCAGAGTCTTCTAACCTTGGTGGAAGAAATGCCGAAACGCTTTTGCCAGTGAGAATAGACAAATTATAAATGACCGAGTACAACAAAACTACAGACTTCAAGGGTAAATCTCAGAAGAAGAGCGCTGTGTGTGAAGCTGTTTCGGTTATCTTTCCTATCTCAAACCCTACAGCCATAAAAAAATCATAAGAGTCACTTGAAATCGTATTATCATTCCTCGCTGCATTTGAGCCGCCCTCGAATCGACTATCTAACGTGCAAATGTGATAAGATTAATAGGTCATATTTAAAACATGCCAGCCGGAAACGTACGCGCCTGAAGTGATAACTGTGTCCGCAAATAAATTAAACTGGCACAAGTTCAAGAGCAGAAATTGCCATTGGTAGATATAAAAGCCTTTGTGGGGAAAAGCTGGAGACTAAATCCAAAAATGTCCTTACGGTTATACACCTGAACCTGATGATAACCTATTGATTGGTGGTTTGGAGGACATTACAGCTAAGTCAGCATAACTGATAACGAGTCCCACTGTTTGGAAGTCCTCATGAATCTACCACCTCTTCATGAAGGGAGAGAGTAGAGCCGCAATCCGCGAATAAAGCTTCGGGAGGAACTTCAGGTGGATTATGTTTTATACCTGTCGACATGATCCCGAAATTCAGATTTGATAAGAAATTTTATATTAAAATATCCAATGAGCAAACAGAGAAAGAGATCCCTGCCAATGCCGATTATATCTTGTGCACAGATGGCTCTAAGACCGATTATGAGTTAAAATAAACCAACGACTAGACTCCATATTCTTGCAATATGCCACGTTTTTTCAGGAGGTGACTGTGGCTATTGAACACTGTGCCAGGGAGATCAAACGAATGGATATTACCAACAAAAAAATAAAGTTTACTGCTCGGACTATCTTACGACTAGTAACTACTTTACTGATAGTAAAATTTAAAGCCGTTTGGAATTGCATCAAGGCCACTTCAGAGATTGGAAGCAATAACAAAATCACCCTTGTTTGGGTACCAAAGCATACAGGACGGAAGGATAACGTGGAGGTCGATAAATTTACTAAGTGAAGTTCGATGAGGACACCTATTGGCCTTAAACCCTTGTGTGCCATATCAAATTGCAAAAAACATGGTACCATCAGACAATGGTTTAAGAGCACTTGCTAGTACAATGGGACTGTATTCTAAGACAGAAGCATGTAAACTTTCATCAAAGGATAATTTCAGAACCTAACGGCAGAACTACTAAACCTAGGACTTCTTAGAATGATAGTTGGACTACTGGACACCCGGTCACCAGAAACGTAAAAAATAGACAATAGTAGAAACAAGCATGTGGAGTTATCCAGGAAGAAGAAAAAACAACGGAACATGTCTTCTGTCGGTGCGAAGGCTTATGAAGTCTTAGGTTTCTAGTCCTGAAAGAGGGCAATTAAGGAGTGGATAAGGAGCGCATCTTGGGTAGCTGCTGTCCCAAAGACCTGAGCGTCTTGATTGTAAGCTCAGGCATACAGCCTCTATTCCCTACGACGCTTCAAACCTAAAGTAAAGCTTTTGTATGCCGCCATGACGGTCTCTTGTAATACCCTGTACTTCGCCACCCGGTCTAGGGCGCCACGCGACTCATGTGCCACAGCAACGTCCAGGACAGTCACTGAGTCCTCATCCGTAGTCACAACATCCGGCCTGTAACTGGTTCCATCAGGTAGGGCTATAGGGGTTTCAGCCTGGACCTGATACCCTGTAACGCAGAGGCCGGCTATGAGGACATGGAGGCATTAATCACGCACCACATTTCGTACACTCCGCTGACACGCTATCGTCCGCTCTCCTCATGACCTTTGCGGGCCATTTATGTTGTTAACTAGCACTACTGTGTCAACGGCACACCGTATGTTATTCAAGTATGTCCCATTGATACTGACACCCTTTGCATTGAAATCGTTGAAGCATCTTTAAACAAAGCTTCCCAGTATAGGTTAAAAAGCTAGGGCGATAGAATACAGCCCTATCTCACTCTTTTCTCGATTATCTGAGAAGACCAATTAACGTCTTTGATATTGAGGTAGACGTTGGACTAACAGCTGCGTTTTACGTTTAGGGAAAAACGTCGCCAGCTAACTCCGAGGTCATAGTCAAATTTATTGTCACAACAATAAAGCACAAAAAAAAAACCACTTTACATTTGGAAGAACATCCAAATATATTATTGAATAATTTGTTGAAGTAGTGAGGAGCGGTGAATTACAAAACATATTTTGATTGGAAAAAATAATTATACAATGCAGACGTAAATACTATAAATTTTGAATCAAGTATTCCATAATCATACAAAGTGTGGTGTTATTCTTGTGATGCCATGTTTGTTTCGTGTTTGCAATTGTTGTGAAACGTGATTTGCATTCTGCTGTTTTTATGTGATTAGTGACAGGATGGGGAACGAGGTCAATCTGGGATATTTTCTTTATATCATAGGCGATTTTGTGATTCTGAGTTATTCGATATTGGAAAGGAAGTTAATTATTATGGACGATAACGAAGGAAAGGGAGACATAAAAAAAAAGTGTGATGGTTTATTTGCTTTATGTTGTTGGCGGAGTTTGTATGTATCTATTCTGTAATTAATGCTGTGTGTGCGTTTCTGATAATTTAAACCATTTCTAGAAAGTTGCGTTTTTTCATTGTTTACTATCTTTTTTTTTTTTTACAGATATTGATATGTAATTCCAATGTGTTGTATGTAGCTGGACAGTTCATACGATTAATTTTATAAATAACATCGAATTTGTCCCTGAAGATGACCTGAGTAAAGGTCGAAACGTAGGCAAAAAATAAAAAAAATTTAAATATTTACTCGGAACGCTCCTCACTACTTCAACATTGAACAACCGATCATTAAATAATACATATATTATTACATAACTTCCTTTTTTTAAACTATATATTATCCAATTATAATGTCCTTGTTATTAAATGTTCATATAATCGTGAAGGCCGCATTGAATTCAAAAGGAAGGCGTAAAAACTAAACTTTTCCAAGGTCGTGAATTGAGAAGACCATCGATTCCACATTGGAAACGGTGACTGAGCAGAAAAAGTATAAATTTTCGTTCTTGAAGTTTTTTTAAAGGTGTATTATGTTATCACAAGAAAGAGAATTTTTGGGTTGTGAAGTAACTAACAGGCAAGGGGTTGATTTTACTTTGGTTAAAAAGAAAAAGTTGTAATTTTTATTTGGTCGTTGTTTGTTATGTTCTCTGTCAATTTGTTTATTTTACGCGACTGGCGTTTAATTTTCCCTTTACATGCTGAACACGGCTTCGATTCAGTTAACGTGATTGCTCTTACGTATGAAAATATTCACTCCATTTCCTTTAGCACTATGGCAGATGTTTCGTTGAACCACATTACAAGGGTTAAATTTTAAACGGTGTCGTAGATCTGATGGACCTACAGATTGATATTCTGGTCTAATAACAGGTTCACTGGTTTTGCAGATAAATCAGCGAGAATGAGCAATGATCGAAGGAAAATCAACCTGTTTTGTAGTATGGCTAAACAAATTTATACTTACCTAATGGCTACGAATTTAAATGTAAGTACACAATAGTGTCAACTTTTACAAACAGTGAAGAAGTTAAATTGACATTTAAACTACGCTGAAAGGTATTGACATTTACAACACAGCTGAAATATCATCTGGTCTGTGTCGACGATATCCGAAGATAAAAGTAAGAATAACCTCGTGAAGATTGCGGAGTGATGGACCAGTTTGGTCGTTCCCGATCATATCGTTACTGGCAGACTCGTTTCCGCATACTATCATATTAGGCCTGATTTAAACGCTGTCAGTAAGGGAATTTTTGTATCACTGGCAAGTAGCTACTCGCATGGTTTAAACAGTTGTCAGTGACTGGCAATCCTAGCGTGGCAGTCACTAGCATTGCCAGTGAAACAAAAATGTTTGCTATGTTTCCATTTCTGCTGGTGCAAAGTGTCAGACAACATAAAAAGCCCTCAGACTCAAGTACGATGTGAGAAATCAGTTTGTTTAAAACTACTTCCAAAGGGCAAGTTTTGGCCAGTAGGATGAAAATGTCCTTTTTCATCACGAGACCTTGGGAACTACTTAACAAGCCTATACCACCAGACATTCTTTCCATTTCTGCTGGTGTAAAGTCTCAGACATAAAAAGCCCTCAGACTCAAGTACGATGTGAGAAATCAGTTTGTTTAAAACTACTTCCAAAGGGCAAGTTTTGGCCAGTAGGGTGAAAATGTCCTTTTTCATCACGAGACCTTGTGAACTAACTTCTCAAGCCTCTACCACGAGGCATTCTTTCCATTTCTGTTGGCACAAAGTGTCAGGCGCCGCATAAAATGTCCTCCGTTTCAAGTATGATGAGGAAAAGTTTAACTAATCAAACAGGGTATCATGTAGATCCAGTTTTCCCACCGTAATCATCAGAAAGAAGTGGTCCTTCTTTCCCCATACTGTTCCTTGTTAATTTACAAAATAATTAAAGTCGCACATAAACTTAAAAGATTGAATTTGGCGCCGACGCGTTGCCAAAGGATGTCAAAAAGGGGAAAAAGAACGCTAGAGTCCCCACCGCTCACTCGGCTCTATTACTCACTGCCCAGTGCCCACCGGCGGTCGTGGGGACTGGTGAATGTGAATGTGAATGTCATAGTCGACGTCGCTATCCGGCTGTTTTTTTCTCGATTTCGATTGTTTAGACTACGTGTTGAAAAATGTTATCTGACGAAGTATGTGAAAATCGAGCCAACCGGAAAATCATTACCAGATCTATTCCTGAAAAATATTAAATTATTTTTACATCCATTCAGTCATTGTTGTAAAATTACTTTCAATTAAACTTGGAAAAAATATGCATAGATACAATGCAATTTTCTTTTAATATTTTTAATCACACATACATATTAATTTGTTTACTTTTGAATGTTAATTAAAAAATTTTGACCTTCATTTAGTTTTTTTTTTTTTTAATATAAAGATTAAACATAAAATATTTCATGTTATAATCGCTAATTTGAAACATGTTGTTGCAGATAAATCAAACGTGCTGATGGCAGGCTTTTTGATGAACAAGTACGCGATTAATTTATTTAACGGTCTGCAAAAGGTGATCACCAGACAGGTAACTTGGCTGATTCCTATGAAATCCAATATAATTAACATTCAAGTCAAAGGCTTTTGGTACGATGAATATTAATATTCTCTTTTCTAAACTCAAATTGTACGGCATTGCGATCCGCTCCTTTCACAGTTGGGATCCTTCCTTATTGGCGGAACCTTGTGGGTGGAATTCAATGGTGAACTTTCTGTTTCCCTTCCCATTGATTCTGGTTCCCACGGGGATCCCACTCGAGGCCAATTTTATTTCTTATGGTTTTTAACGATGTCACAAGACATTTTGACACCTCTTTCTTCTCTTTTCTTGTAGATGATCTCAAACTCTTTTCATCCGTGTCGAGTCTACCTGATTGTTGGGAACTGCAGCAATTGACATTTTTTCCAACTGGTGTTACAAAATTGACATTGCTAATAAAAGAGAGTGCATAAAATTTAGTAAATCTAATAACAGTATACCCATTTTATTTAGTGGTCTATTGAGGAAATTACTTCTTTCAATTAATTAATCTTTTTATGTAAGGTTTTTGGTTGAAATGAAAAAGCTAGTGCCTAGTTAGTGCTAGTGCCATCCCTAACCATCCCAAAAGCCAGTGCCACAAGCGGGATTCAAACCCATGACCTTCGGCTAAATACGTCGCTGCTCTATCACTTGAGCTATTGTGACTTTGATCCACTCGGACATTAACTCCCCATCCCAACCTACAACCTTTCGAATTGAAAAATGGCAAAAAGGAGGGGAAATTTGAAAGGTTAGGTTGAGATGGGGAGTTGGTGTCCGAGTGGATCGAAGTCACATAGCTCAAGTGGTAGAGCAGTGGCGTATTTAGCCGAAGGTTGTGGGTTCGAATCCTGCTCATAGCAGTGCCTAGTTAGTGCTAGTGCCATCCCTAACCATCCCAAAAGCTAGTGTCACAAGTGGGATTCGAACCCAGACCTTCGGCTCAATACACCGCTGCTCTAACCACTTGAACTATTGTGACTACGAAGTTACGATAGCTCACTCAAGTGGTTAGAGCAGTGGCGTTTTGAGCCAAAGGTCATGGGTTCGAATCCCGCCCGTGACACTAACTTTTTCATTTCAACCAAACACCTTACATAAAAAGATTAATTAATTGAAACATAACTTTGACAAATTTTCCTGCCATCTTGATTGAACCCTTATTGAGAAAGTGGATAACATTTCTGATCTTAATGTAATTTTCAGTTCAAACAGTTCTTTCAGAAATCATGTCATCGATATTAGAAATAATGCATTGAAGAACATAAAACAAGAATTTCACAATACCCTTGTCAGTAAAACCTTCTTACCCTTGTCAGAAGCCACTTAGAGGATATTTCATTTGTTTGGCGTGCTGACCTCTGAGGGCTGAAATTGAGCTCTTGGAGAGGGTAACTTTTCTCGCTTTCAAATTCCGTTCAAAGATTCTTGTCGCCTTTGGTTTTCATTTCAAATAATTACAACAGTGTCATCTCTTTGCCGTAGATTTTAAGTAACTTGCCTCTAGTAGTTCCTAAGGTAAGTTGCTTCCAGTCCTGTGAAATCTTCCATGGAGAGGTGCAGGATCTGTTAAGCGATGCAATGCACCTTCTCACGCCTCACCTCTTACTAATGTTTTCTCCAGGTTTACAAAAAAAAAAAATAAAAAAATAAATAAAAATTTAAAAATAAAATGTAAAACTTCTCATGGTAGAAGTAAAAGGTCGAAGTTCCATTGAAATGAGTTTTTGTAAAGTTATGTTTTGTTGACTTTACTTGTATTCTTAATGTTTGTTCACTTATATTTAGTAAGTAATGAGAAACAGCTCAAAATTCTATTTTCTTATGTTGTTTATAATAAACAATATATACATATTGCAGGTTTTGCAGGTTGAGAAAAGAGATTTCCATAAAGCAATGACTCTTCGCAACCAACAAAAACCTTTAAACCCACAATTTGAGCTGTATACTGCAGATAAATTCTTAAATCCAATTAAACCCATTACAAATGATCCAACAAGTCGGCCTTTGGTAGTTTTGATAGCATGGATGCTCGCTAAGAAAAAGCACATTGAAAAATACAGTGAAATATACTTAAAACAAGGCTTTGATGTATTATCAGTAACGATGACTCCTTGGCAGTTTCTTTGGCCTACAACTGGAGCACAGGTACAAAATATAATTTGTATATTTAAATATTTTCAAAATATCAATTTCACACAGAGAATTTTGTTTATTTGTTGTACTTTGTTTCAATAGGTTCATTGATTTAGAAATAAATTGCTTCACTGAGTGAATTTGTATAGTTTTTAAATTAATGGTAATGATCCTCTATTTTGATATAAATTAATCAGCCTATTTTTCAAATGATTAGAATGATTTTTCTAGGTATTGTGCATGTAATTTAACAGTACACAATTTAACTAAGTAAAATCACTCATCTCTGTTTTGAAATCCAGTCATAGGACATTTATGTCTAGGAAGCCTTATTCCATAATTTGTCATTAATTGTAATACGATAGTCTTATAAGACTAATTAATTGTATTTTAGCCAATTGCAGATGAATTGCTCCAATACTTGAATGAACATTCGAATCGGCCCCTTTTACTTCATGGGTTTTCAGTCGGCGCTTACCTTTGGGGAGAAGTACTAGTCAAGATTAATACAGACTTACCAAAGTATACGAAACTTATCGACAGAGTCAAAGGCCAAATATGGGATTCGGCTCCAGACATTGCTGAACTTCACAAAGGAATACCAAGAGCATTGGTACCTGGAAATTCTCTTCTTAGAGCTACAGTTGAAAAATATGTCGTGTAAGTTCAATCACTTTTAACTTTACCTTGATTTATTCTACTAGAACGTTTTTGCCTGATATTCCATGTGAGTTTTTATAATAAGCTTTAAGCTGCCTATTAAATAATTAAGTAAATAAGAACATTTAATTTGTGTTGACTTTTTTAAACCTTTCGTTTAAACACCACCTATGGGCCGCAACAAGGTGTTGACATGGTGCTCATCATGGTAAGGTAAAGGTCCCGAGTTCGAATCCAGCATTCAAACTCGACGTATTTACAAATGGGCATTAAAAAATAAATTAATTAAAAAATTAAAATAAAAAATAATCAATTTTGTGGATGATTTTTCACACATTTTGAAAATATTTTTCCTTTCTTAAATAAATAAATGATATCAGAAACTTTTTTTTTGAGGATATGCCAATTACGAGGTTATATGAACCCTCGGGGTGCTGGTGTTTTTTGAAAAAATCCCATTTGTAAGTATTTCAGATTCAAATGTATGGCCACTGGATTTGAACCCGGGACCTTTACCTTAGAGTAATGAGCGCCGTGTCAACCACCAACACTCCCAATTTACCGTTATTACTGATAGTTGTAATTTTCAATCAGGTGTAAAAAATCAAAACTAAACTTTTAATTTTTCCCTTTTCTTTTAAACCAGTTACATGATAAATTGAATTTATCGTGTTCTGAAGGAAATCTTCAATATTTCCAGAACAAACCATTGAATTTTTGAACTTCTGGTATTTTCTGGTAAAATAGGTCTTTACTCCCTCGTTTAATCGCTCCAAATTTGTGCATTAGAATTAATGGTTTGGAAGAAACTAATAAATCACCCCCTTTCAATCCCACCAATGCGTAACATGCATGCTTCTTGAGATATAATATAATATAATCTATAAATAATTTTTTTTTGTTATTTTTATGTAAGTTATATAATTATATAATGCAAAAGTTGCATCCCCACAGCAGTAAAGGAAGTAGGCAATCCACAGAATGTTTGTTCCATTTGGGTGGGTAGTTTCTGCATTCATTTTCCCTTATTTTACTTAATGGGTAAATAATTAATTAAAATAACCAAACACATACACAGAAAAGCAAATTATGTGTTTTTAGAATAAATCACTTCCAGTTGAAAAAACCCAATTCATTGATACTTCTACCCTTTCTGAGACGACCCTAGGAATTTCGAACAGGATTGTGTAGCGGGTGAAGTGGAGGGAGAGGTAAAAATATAAACGGGAGGACGGAGACAATGAGTATCGGTAAATGATCAACTTTTCATTAAAAGTTATCAATCGCTTGCTTACTTTATTTGCTCCAATTGTGTACAGTACACACTAGAATCAACGATTTGGTTGGGCAGAAGAAGCTAATAAAAAAATCATCCCCTTTCAATCTCACCAAATGCACAATATTACCTTCTTGCGATGTAATCTGGCTTCTGGAGTTGTTAATAATGGGTCGTGGCATATTCATCCTAAGTTATCAATCTTTGTGAAAATGGGTTGAATTTAGTAGGGAATCGCAGATGGATATGCAGTCCAATAAATTCTTCTAGATTATATGTGAGAAACCCATCGCTCCGACAAATATATCCATCCGCTCTAAGATGTATAAAAAAAATTTGTTCTACTATATGGTGCATCTCTGAGTATGAGTCATTCGAGACAAAAGCTTGAATTTGTTTATCAACACTAGTTAAAGGACATCAAGAGTGATCTGTCTCCTAAATCAAAATTTACGCTTCTGACCCATTCAGAATACTTACAGATGACTCTTCCTCCTAAAGCGTCATCACTGGACACATAAATTTTCTTAGCATTCTGAGCTATGGTATTTCCTTTGCAAATGTGGATAAGAAGAAGGAAATGAGAAAATGTATTTTTTTTTTTAAATAATAGTCAACAAATTATCAATTTCAAGATTTCAACTGATTGAGTATTTATAGAAGCTGTATAGAAAGTAAAAATTGAAAATATAATATTAGGGCACCTGTCAAACCAGAAATACATTTAAAAACTAAGAATTGTGGTCATCGGTGGCCACAATGGTTAAGGCGTTGACACAGTGCACATCACTTTAAGGTAAAATCCCGGGTTTGAATTCAGGGTTGATCATACTTACAAATGCACTTTTATTTTTTTATTTTTTCTCAAAAACGCCGTTACCCAGGGGGTTGATATGATCTCTGCTGTAACGTACTCACTTAGAAAAACATATAGACAAATAGTGCATTGGCAAATATTTAGATTACTAAACTAAAAGTTAGATTGTAAACAAATTTAATTACGTCAATAATATCAAGTTACTAACATAAGTAATGCTGTTTATGCTTATTGTCATTTCAAAGTTTTATCGTATTTTTTTCAGCTACCATTTGAGTACATTCCAGAATTCAGTCACCCAACATTACATCAGGTCAAGCCAGTTGTTCCACACAACACCTATTAGAGCACCGACATTACTTTTCATCTCCAAGAATGACCTTATTGCGACGGAAGCGTCAAATCAAAGAGTCCGCAAATCGTGGGAATCATTGGGAATGAAGGTATGTGCTTAGAATTGCTATTAATTTCTGAATAAAAACCATATACAAATCATGGAACTAAATAGAAGCACTATTGATTTCTGTCTTTCTAAAAGATTCTATCTAATGATTACTAAAAAAACATGGGACTGTTTGCAAGAGATTATTTACAAACCATTTGTCTCTATATCTAATAGTCAAACATATGGCAAAATTTTGAATACGGTTAAATATCGAAAAAATAGTGTCAATAATTAGCAAAAATAAATAGGAGAAACATATTGAAAACAAATCCCTTTAATAAATCATCAAAATTAATCTGGATTGACAAGTCAGAAATGCTGTTGAATCATGCCAATTTAAATACACATCAGAATGGTAACAATTTTAAAAAGTGAAATTTTGATTAATTTATTCTTATATATAATATTGGCATATTAATTTATGATAATACCAAGGAAGTTGGTAGGCAATTTGTATTGTAGTTTACCGCCCTGGATAATTTCAGTTGACAAATATGTCATTGCACTTGTCCCCGTTGTTAAATTATTCATTCAAAAGGAATTGTAAATAGTTTGAATTGTAAATAATAATTTGATAAATTGATTTGTGTAACTATATTTAACAACAATAAATATTTATAGGGTTGTCTGGAAAGTTTGTATGGAAATGCTGATACACTTACAAATTCATTAAGGGTTATAAAATTAATTAATTACCATTTGAAAGTAAGGTCCATAATAAATACCTTTCTTCCAAAAATCGCTGCTTTTACTGCTGCATTATATTAGATTAGACGAGTCAGCCTCTTTATGATCTGTGCACTACGACCAGTATTGGGTCTCCATTGTCTCTCTTCTGGCTTTTTACTAGAGCTTTTTTAATGACTCCCATTTTCTCCCCCTTCAGGCCCGGGCTTTCTCTCCCAGGAGTCTAAATCTTAGCCTACATAAGCCTTCATACCAACAGAAAATATGTTCCACTTCTTCTCCCTGGCAATATATGCACAGGCTTGTTTCCACTACTCCGATCTGTACATGTACCTCAGGAGTCTGTAATTTCCAGTTAGCAGTCCAATTACTATTCTAGTCCTTACACGTCCTAGATTTAGTAGTTCTGCAGGAATACTTTGGTAAACTTTTGCATTTTGTCGTAGAATACAGTCCCATTGTACTGAGTATTTCTTCTTAATCCATTGTGTGATGGACCCACTTTTTGGCATTTGGTATGCCACAAAAGGGTTCAGAGAAATTGGTGTCCTCAGCAGACTTTCCTTCTGTCCATTGCCCCTCTGCCCTTTGTGCCCTGTTACACAGTCAAGGGTAATTTTGTTGTTTTCCCCAATGTCTGACATTATGCAATCCCCTAATGCAATCAAAATGATTCTCAGCTTTAACTTAACTTTAATTTCCCTAAGTGCCGCCTAGCTGTCCAAGTACATGACTATTCTTCTGTTAATGACACCTAGCCCTTTAATCTCCTTGGCACAGTGTTCAACATACATATTCTCCACTTGAAAGTCAGTGGCATATTGCTCAAGACTTATATGAATTCTAGTCCTTGGTTTATTTCCATAAATACCAGCTCCTAAGCCATACTCAGTTTTAGAGCCATCTGTATACCAGATATGGTCAACATTAACTGGGAACCCTTTCTCCCAGGCTACTCTGCCATGTATTTTAATTTGAAGTTTTTTGTCAAATCTGAATTTAAGGTCATGGCATCAACAGGCCCAGAACCATATCTGTTTGAAGCTCCCACCCCACACATTTAGTTGCTGTTTGCTATGTGAGTAGACTATTGGAGCCTGTCCCTGCATTAGCCTATGAATTGTGGTTCTGGCCTCTCCCAGGATACAGATTATGTAGTGCTGGTAGATTCGAAAGGACTTCCAGGGCAGCAGTGGAGGGCGTTCTCATAGTCCCAGTGTGCTAGTTCTCTGAGCAGTACTGAGGATGTTGAACACCCTTAGCTGGAGTGTCTTTGTCCTCTTTCCACTGTTACTGCTGAAACACCGGAAGATCTTTTCTGATGCCTTCATTTATAGTATAAGGTTTGCCTTGTTAAAAAATAAATAAATAAAAATTAATTAATTTTAAAAAATTAAATAAAAAAATAGAGGAAATGGTATAGGTAGTAGTTCAGTAATTGCTGCCGAGTCAGTAAAGACACATAAGCTGAACATTGTCTTGATGGAATATCACACCTTTCCTTAGTCAGCTCTGGGCGATTTTTCTCAATCACCACTTTCAGTCAAATTAATTGAATGCAATAGAAATCAGTATTTATGGTTTAGTTTCATTAAAGAAATTATGATTTTCATGATGACATCACAATTTTCCAAACGGGGTGTCGTGAGGCTAAAGAGCACTGGTCATACAATTTAGAGGATATAGAAATTGTCAATGATATCTTGCGTCAGTGCTCAATCCAACCAGCCTTTTTTTTCGCTAAGCAATAAAATAATAGAACATAATTGGCCATGATAGCGATTCGGTTTGGAAGAGGGCATTTAGTCATAGAATTATTTCTTGGAGAGCCAAATATCTGAGCTATTTTATACTATTCAGGTCAGGTGCAGTGTTGTGAGGAGTCTGGGGTGGTGGAAGGTGTACTATGTTTGTTAGGAAATTTTACTTATAAGACCACATTTTTACGTTTTATGTCAATCTACACATTGAGGCTTCACCTTAGTTACTCAGTAAAGGTGGCCTATGTGCTGACCAAACATTGAAAAAATTGGCCACTAAGGTTAAGCCATTGACCCAACAACGTACTTACAAAGGGCTTTTTTCAATTCTTTAATTCAATTTAATTTTATCATTCAATTTTTGAGGTGTTAGATAAAAGAAAATACAATTCAGTACTTTTACAAAATATCCAGATAACCCAATAATAACAAGGAATATTTATTTTTATTGCATGAGAAATTTTCACTCGTACATTTTCAAGTTTACACACTGTAAGCAATATCAGCTCTTTTTTAATTTATTGTATTTGATAAACAAAAATGATATTTTTGCCTGATAAAATGCATTGGGAATATAAACAATGTAGAAAGAAATAATTTATCAGCTCAGCACTTTTATCGTTGAATGTTTATTTTCAAATATTGTTGTGTTTATACAATCAGAACCAGAACTGTAGAATTAAATAATGAGTAGACTACATTAAAAAAATCATAGAAATAATCAATACAATTGGGGAAAAAAACATATAAATGAATAACAAGGGTTGCTGATATGCTGATTAAAGCATTCACACGGCGACATCACTGTAATGACTCATGGTGAGAATTTCAGCAGCCTTGATTTTGAGATGAAAGTATTTTCCTACAAATAGATTTTTAAAATTAATAAATACATAAATAAAAATATTAAAAAATAAAAGAAAAGTCATAATCTGACTACATAAAATCAGGGAACTATCATTATTGTTATATATGGTTATTGCTATGAAGTTCAACAGAAATAATTGACAAATAAGGATATTAGTTTGATGTGTAGTTACCTAGTACCAAAAAAAAATAAAAATTTAATTTGTTGTTAGTTCATGCATATTCAACATTTTATTTTCATAACATGTTAAATTTGATTTCTAATTCATTTTACAGGTTTCCTGGAAATGTTGGGATAAATCAAAACACGTTTCACATTTCATTTTGCACCGTGACGAGTATTTGTACGAATTGAATTCTTTTATTGCTTCGCTAGACCTCTTTTCTCAGTATGAGGAGGTGAAGGATAAAATTAAGGCAAAGTTGTAAATCAATTTTTAAATAAAAATAATAATGATGTTTTTCATCAGTCATAATTATTGTTACCTTTATGCCAATTGTTTGTTGTAATTATTAATCTAGTTTTTCTTCATTGTAACAAAATACATAAACTCGTCAGAATAAAGTATTATTAATTGGAGTGAACTAAATCTGGCCAAATAATTTTTAATCACAATTTACTATGTAAACATGTGTGTATGTAATGCTGTTAATGAAGGGTAAATAAATAAAAACATTAAACATTTATTTTTTGTATTTTATTTTAATTGATTAAAAACCAGATTATTACAGAAAAACTGTTAAGTAAAATGTAAGTATTATTGTTATATTATTAAGTATTGTTATAGAAATGATCTGTGCAATAGAAGTTGCCATTAGACTTAATAGAATAGAATAATAATAAAATAAATAAATTAATAAGTGAAAGCTTATTTTATTGTACTTTCCTAGTTCCTTAGTTCATTGCAATCGACTCGATTCTTCTCCTAAGAAGTACTAGGTCATTGACTGTCGCTGCAATTCCATTCCCATGGCTTTCTTTGAATTCCAAGTCTTGTCAGCATTAAGTGGTTACTTTGAAGATGATTTGGGTGGCTGTTTCTTCCTCTTCATTGCATAACCTACAAATGGGATCATCATTGAATATACCCATGTTGTGCAGTTGTTTTCTTAGATACCAGTGACCAGTTTATAGTCCTATCACCCTCTGAATTTAGCCCTCTCTAACTGTAGCAGTGAGTCTTGGTGACGGTCGTTTTAGCATAAGTTTGCTGTGTTGCCACCCCTAGAATTTATCTACTTCTCCTTTTGTCTTTATTGGATCCATTATGTGATGGAGGATTCTGAGTTTATTTTTGTTAGGTTGGTTGGTTCGGGGCTTATATTTGGTATTGTAGATCCTTCTCTAGCCAGTGTATTTGCTTTATCTTACCCAAAATTTCTTTGTGCTTTGATATATTGAACCCAAGATATCATCAAGTTGTTGTTTTCCCCCAGGTTTTAGAGATTTTGGATGTATTCACTGACTAGTTTTGATGTTATTTTTTACATATGAATGCATTAATAGCTGATTGGTTAACAGATCTTACAATGATTTTTGGCTAGTGTAACCCTTCTTAAGATTTTCCAAGGCACAAGATTGACAGCATATATTTCAGCTTGAAAGACCGAGGTGTACCTCCCTAATGAGTTTGCTTAAATGTTGAGCTTGTACGAAAAACACTTGATCCTTCAATTGTTTTGAAGTCATCTGTATATTGTATCTGTTTTTCTCCTGAATTTTTTCCTTTGTAGTTTATTAAAACTTTATAGAATGTAAAGAGTGTTTTTGGGACCACCTATTGATACATAAGAGTGTCTGGGAGAATTGATTGTTACATTTGTTTATCAAAAGATTGAGTACAAGTTCCAGCATATTTAATCAAAATTGTACATCCAAACGAGATCTTTTTATGTTTGCTGAACAACTCACTTTTGTATCCCATCATTATTTCAGCAGGTGTTCCTCAGGGCTCACTACCAGGTGTGACTCTGTTTTCTATTTGTCTAAACACTTTCCTAAAACCCAAGTTCTGTCATCTAGCGCTATATGATGATGTCACTGTGCTCTACTACTCCTCTTGGAAAGTCAGTGCGATAGCAAGCAAGTTAAATAAGGAACTGGGGCAAATAAAACACTTTGCTTTTAGTGGAAGTTGAAGATCACTGTTCCCAAAACAAGCTGCATCCTGTTTACTAAATGCAGACCTTGATGCTCCACATAGTAGTAGTACGAATACCTTTTGACAGGTCCAAAACCATAGCTTACCTGTCAAATGGGATTCAAAACGAAACTTCACCTAACATGTAAAAAATCTAGTGGGAAAAGGGGAAGCATCAGAGACCTTCAACTTTTACTTAAAAGAGAAATTGACATGAGCAAAAAGAACAAACTCATGATCTACAGCATGACCGTCAACCCCATGTTGCTATATGAATGTTCTTCTTGGAGTTACACACACAACAAATGTCTCCGCCTTGCCACAGGCTCTAGTAGATACGTAAAAATAACTGCTGCGTGAAATCATGAATGCCACATAGATTGAAAAAGTCGTACAAGGAACAGCTACACAATTCTTGAGGGGAATAAAATCATAAAACAAATCAAGTTATGCCATTGAGGGACCATGGTAGCCGAGTGGTCAGCTTGATAGACTCTCGGCTCATAGACCCCACAGTCGTGGGTTTGATTCCCCCAATCCTTTTTTTTCACACTACCCTCCCCTCTCCCCAAACTATATATGATGAAAAATCAACGGAATTGTACTCTGACTAATATGCAAGTTCATAAAGTCATTCCATTGGAGCATGGTGCAATACAGACTTTATTCAAGCCTGCCAAAATAGTGTATAAACCTTGATTTTGTGACTGATCAATATATTTTTTCTCTAACCTTAGTTAATAATTAATGTCTATTGTATGATAAAGACTGAGGAAAGTACTTTTACAAAACGAAGCACTGTTTTCAGTGCTTCTTCACACACTTCTCTCAGTGTAATAATTGCCTTACCAAAGTGGCTATATTGCCTCACATTCACAAATCATAATGGATACATGGTTCCTCTTGACAGAAATCCCTTTCTTCCCCCTGGTCTTTTTACTTTAGTTTAATGTCAAGGAAAGACTAAGAACAATAAGACCGCCTTTCTTTTTGATACATGACACATAACTCTGTAGGTCCGAGGGTATGTGGTCTCCCTCTACAGGGAGCTGGATGGAAAATTTAACAAAAAAGTCTTTAATTTGGTCCCGATCGTTTTGGGCTGCCATCTACACCTATTTGGTCAGACATGTTTAATCGCCATCTTCATTGGTGGATCTGTGTGATTTTTGTTTTAGTCAAGCCCTTATAAGTTTGCAAGTGTATCGGCGTTCTAGATGGACAAGTCTAGGGTTTTTTTTTTTTGTCCCAGTACTTAAGATTTTGTCCAATCTTTTCCCTTTTTATTTTGTATATCTTAAATGGGATAAAGGATGTTTGTGAGCTGTCGTTGAATTGTGCATGTATGGAACGTCATCAGATTGCCTGTTTTTTTTTTATCTTTCTACTTGCGTGTGATTTTGGTGATAGTAAGCTTTTCAAAATTTATTGGCAACTTAAAAAAAAAATTAAATGATTTTTCAGGCATTCTTAGCCCCCTTCCTCCTCACTAAACACATATGCGTCTAATCAGGCCATCTATTGAGGCTCCAAATAAATGTTCACTTAAAAGGAAGCATCGAAACGCATTTAAATAAAAAAACAACCTCAATAAATTTGGAAAAGCTTATCTTCAAAACCATGTGCTTGTCTGATTGTTGAGGGTTAGTGTCAGGCCTAGTATGATTTCCCGAGGTTGATACCCAAATGTCATAGGATGTTTTTTCGACTTTATGTTTTATTTTTAGTATTCTTTTCTCTAGAATTTTCCAATTGTGGTTGTTTTCTTCTGAGGCCCGAGAAATATTTAAACGCTTGACATTCTTCGTTTTTATTATTGTATGTCTATTTTCACGTGGTCTAGGTTTTGTTAAGCCTTTTCCAACATTAGCTGTTTTTATAATACAGCTGGAAAAGCTTTTAAAATATCACCCAAACCGAGTTTCAACGTTTGTTTCCCCATGTATGTTTAGGTATTGTTAAGCCTTTTCCAACGCTAGAGGTTTTTATAATAACGTTGGAAAAGGCTTAAAAAAATTATCCAAGCACGCTCATTTCCCTATAATGTGAATTCCGTCTATTTAATCTATCTAATTCGTTTGTATAAGTCTCGTCGATATTTTCTCAGGAGTTTTCCACTTGGGGTTGTTTTCTTCTGAGGACTGAGAAATATTTTAACGCTTGATTTTCTTCGTTTTTTATTATTGTATGTCTCTTTTTAAATGGTTTAGGTATTGTTAAGCCTTTTCCAACGTTATCGGTTTTTATAATAACATGGAAAAGTTAGTGTCGTCGATGTTTTCTCAGTTTTCCAATTGTAGTTGTATTTCTTTTGATGCCTGAGTTTACGGTTGTTTTTCTTCGTTTTTATTATTGTATGTCTAGTTTCACATGTTTTAGGTTAAGCCTTTTCCAACGTTAGCTGTTTTTATAATACAGCTGGAAAAGCTTATAAAATATCACCCAAACCGAGTTTCAACGTTTGTTTCCCATGTAGGTTTAGGATTGTTAAGCCTTTTCCAACGCTAGAGGTTTTTATAATAACTTGAAAAAGTTAGTCTCATCGAAGTTTCCTCAGGAGTTTTCCAATTGTGGGTGTTTTTCTTCTGAGGCATGAAAAATATTTAAAAGATTGATTTTCTTCATTTTTTTATTATTGTATGTCTATTTTCACGTGTTTCATGTATCGTTAAGCCTTTTCCAACGTTATCGGTTTTTATAATACAGCTGGAAATGGCTTGAAAAAACCACCCAAACCGAGTTTAAACATTTGTTTCCCCATGTAGGTTTAGATTATTGTTAAGCCTTTTCCAACGCTAGCGGTTTTTATAACTTGGAAAAGGCTTAAAAATTTACTCAACCACGCTTCAAATTTGCTTATTTAATCTATCTATTTCGTTTGTATCAAGTCTCGTCGATGTTTTCTCGGGAGTTTTCCAATTGTGTTTTTTTCTTCTGAGGCCTGAGAAATATCGGTTTTTATAATAGAGCTTGAAATGGCTTGAAAATATCACGCAAACCGAATTTATACGTTTTGTTTCCCCATGTATGTGAATGTGGTCCATTAAATGTCTGTTTTCCTAGTGTCGTTTTCTATTTATGTGCGTTTTGTTGATTGTGTTGTAGCCATTTTTGTGTGCTGTTTTTCCTTCGTTTTACCACTCTTTGGTTTGTCTGCCAGACAAAAATAATAAGGAAAGGTCTGCCCGATGTATTTTTCTGGCATCGGCTTGTTATTGTTTGTATCAAGTTTGAGAGGTTAAGTCTCGCCGATCACAAAGCCAAAAAAAGTCTCGTCGATGTTTTCCCAGGAGTTTTCCAATTGTGGTTGTTTTTCTTCTGAGGCCTGAGAAATATTTAAACGCTTGATTTTCTTGGTTTTTTTTTTTTTTAATTATTATTATTGGATGTCTATTTTCACGTGGTTTAGGTAACGTTAAGCCTTTTCCAACGTTCCATCGTTTTTATAATAATTTGGAAAAGTTAGTCTCGTCGATGTTTTCTCAGGAGTTTTCCAATTGTGGTTGTTTTTCTTCTGAGGCATGAGTTTACGGTTGATTTTCTTCG